AAAGAAGTCCCCTATCTCTCCCAATCCTTGTCGTGACTCGCACCCAACGCATAGGCACTAGACGCTCTGCTGAGGGGTCTGGGCAGTGTCACTGTGATGCTTTGCAGTGGCAGGGTGAAAAAAAATACAACAATCGCTCTCTACTGTTCGTATTATACATGTATTATTAGGGAAAATTAAAGATGTACTGTATTATACTACCTGTATTATTAGGGGAAATTAATGATGTACTAATAACCATTGCTCTCCACTCTCTACTGTTAGTATTATACTACCCCTATTATTAGGGGTAAATTAGTAATTTACTAATACGGAGTTACTTGTTATTTATGTTTTTTCCCGGATAGATCAATATATGATCATCCATTGCGCTGGCGTCGCTCATATTTCATTGAAAAAGCTAGAAAAGGAGAAAAAAAAAGTTTAGTCATTGCTAAATGATGATTATAACCCTCCACACCTCTTTTTTTACAATAATATCTCTCCACGTTTCTACTACCACTAATTGGTGGTAATATAAATAAATCTAAACCCTTCGATCAAATGAGATCAAAGGTTCAGATTGATTTCTACTACCGTAGTGAGGTTATAAACGGCGATGCATGGAGTATCATGCATTCATGCGCGTGTAAATCAGTCTGATTTTTTAATTGAGGGGTATTAAGTGAATGGTTTGGATAATTGAGGGATGAATAATGTCGAGTTTTATAAGATTATAGGGCACATTTCGGAGTTTCGATAAAGTTTAGGAACGTAAAATAGACCTCTTTCTGTGTCCTTAAAATTATTCACAAGTGCTAGCAGCCAATTTCAAACTAATAGCTGATTCTAAGATACTACACACAAATACTCAAGTACTTTTTTTTTGAAAGGTACCAGCACAAGAATGTGCTTATTCATTGAATATAGCAGGAGAAAAATACAACCCCTAGGGGTAAAGAAAAAGCAGAAAACAAGAAAAGCTGTACACTATACAAACTGCGGGATGATCTCTGCAAGACGCTTGGCGCATGCCAAGGCCCACATGCCAGCCTCTTCTTTTATCCTTGAAAGGAGATACGAGGTTGCGGCTTCCTTATGATCAAATATCCTCATATTTCGCTTCTTCCAGACTTCCCATACGATGAGAATCGAGCATATCTTTATTTTTAGGTGCCTTTTATTCTTCTAACTTTTGTGGACATATGTTAGCATGTGAACCACAAAATTAGCAACTCAAGTTCACTGAACCTACACTAAAGGGGTTGCAGGTGCCGAATTTCTTAGCCAGTCAACAAATAATCACATTCATGAAGTGTTCAAGAGAGGGGAACACAAGTCAGTATTTGGAAAATGCCAATATATATAAGGCATTGATTTGAATTATGCAAATTACTTACTCGCAAAAGAAATCCTGCAAATTACTCGTTACTTCCCAAATCATTAAGCCCCGATTGATCAGGGTTCTTATTATCGAGGGCAACCCGCTTCAGATTGCAGAATTGATTTGTGTATTCTGCCTATATAATGTGTTTTCACTGCCACGTACTACACTGAGAGAGTTGTACCTTGTGAGGATTGATATAATCTTGTATATATTTTTTTATATCTATATTATGGTTAGTTACAAGTTTGTTCTTGAATTCGTTGTACGATGCTGATACCCATTGAATACCCTCGATCTAAGGCATCAAACTATCAAAAGTGAGGATTGAGATCAAATGCAGTCACTGCTAGGACTACAAGTTAGTAACTGCACAGTATCATTTTTCAGATCAAGGGTGCAGATCAACTACTACAGTATTATCGCTACAGTAGCCGCAAGATATTTTTTCCCTGTGTGAACAGTGCTTCGAGGATCTCAGCCCTTAGATACAACTTGGATGGTACTGCACCTGAACCAAATCCCAAAAGTGAAGACTATACCCTAGCTAGCATCAACATAAATATCGGTTACTTAATTGTATGTTCACCTCACATATGAAATATTCAGATATAATTGAAATGTATACGAGCTAGCTTCTCTTTTCAATTCAGTAATGCCTATTCTTGTTGAATTGGCACTTGTCCACTATGACTCGAAGATAAAGAATCAAATCAAATAGGCTTGGGAGGAGTCTAGGAAGTCAATGTCTCCGGTGGCCATGTTTAGGGTAACTGTCCAGAGAGCGGTGGTGTATGGTCTGTCTAGTTTTGCAGTGGGTGCTTACAAGCATTGAAGGGGTTCCTACGTACTTGCGACGATAGCTACCCATACTCTCTATTTACAGTTGATACATCTGGAGCTTGTGGTACCAAATCTGTTGAAAATGAGCTTAGTATATGCATGGTCTGTCAACCAAAAGGCATCTACCATAATATATTTGAAGATTAGAACACATCTAGCTTACATTTTCACTCTCAGAAGCATATGGTAATTTCTGACAGAGAGGCCAGAGTACATTTGTAGCAACTATTAATTCAGTGTAGCATTTAGTAGATATGTCCACTAGTTTGTTCTAACATCCAAATAGGCTAGCTGAGCCTATAGTTTGAAGCTTTGAAATTGTATCTTAGTGCATCATTCATTGTTGATCAGGTGAAGAATTAAACTCACTCAGTCTATGTTGCTTGCGCTATCCAAAATTTCTGACTGAGGATTTCCATGTATCTGTATAATGGAATGAAGCACACCTAGTTCTGAAGTCTTGAATTATCAAGTCATGACATATGTTTATTTGAAATTTTCTTCCTTCATGGGATCTTCATGTGTCCATGGATTGAATTTCTATGTTACTGGACTGGCCTTTTGTCTTGGAAGGGGTTGAATTTTCCATATTAGGGAGTTGAGTTTTTTTTTATGGTTCTTGTTTGAGAAAGTGATGTGAATTATTGCACCTTTTACTGTAAATTTATGGTAGTGTCATTTCTTAACTCGGCCATGGACATAAATATATCAAGGGCATTTACAAACTAGTACAAGTTCCAACTACTACAAGAGTCCAATACTGAATGCCAGTACACTATCATGACATAAAAAAAACACATGATAAAACCAGAGGATGTGGCAGCATGGCCACTCCTGCTTGTTTCTAAACAATTTGGTGCAACTGTGTCCCAGTGCCAGTGAAGCAAACTGCAAGTATGCAAATATACAAGAGAAGCATTCAGATTATCGGCTATATATAAATCATTTGGACACTTGAAAACTGCAACAAGGAAAGGTTGTGTATACCTCCAGGTATCGAGGACGCCGCGAGAACATGTTCTTCCATTATCTACAAAATCTCTGGACAATCTGCTGGTGAGAATGGGAGGCAGCTGGGAAGAATTGCTCTACTTGGGTGTTTCTTCATGCACAAGGTATGCGGACTCTGGGTGAAACATGTAGCAATGTACTGTCACAAGCTGAACATAAGAAACTTCTAGTAGTCTCTGTTTGACAAATTAAACATTGAAAACCTTCTAAGACTGCCAGGAAGAAGTTACCCTATACCGAACCGTGCTGATACTTCTTGTCATTGAGGATGAAATAGTTTTTTTTTTTTTACCGAGCGGCAAATATTCTTAGCACATTTTAGTTCTTTGAGAGAGTTCTTCAATATTCTTCTTCCAAACTCGGCTTAGTTATCTCATTTTATCACTCTACCATTGTAGCACAGGCCAAGTGAGGTATGTAATGTCTATGTGCCGAGCTGCCGTTCATCTCAGAGAGAGAGATCTATGCAACTCCTATATCACATCAAAAGCTCCGTAAAAAGGCTACTCGTAGTCGGAGTCGAATCTATGTATTCTCTAGTAACTCAATCAGCAAAGTAAATGATGATACAGCTACTGTTGAGACTTGGCTGTGTAGTACACTTATGGTGTAGAGGCCATATTCTTAATACATTATTTAAAAGAAAAGGCTACTGTTGAAACTCTGAAAACTTCGAAATTTAGCTGAACAATTGACTGAAATATGAAGCACTTCCCCCCTTTTATAATTGGCAATGGACTAGAGAGAATATGCCAGAGCTGATTGTGTGGATCTGTTGAGGAACATATGCCAGAGCTGATTTTTTGAAGGCTATGTTCCTAGTCATAACAATCATTTTATACTTCCATTTGTATAGTGTACAAAAAATCAGTGCTCAGATTTCTCTCAAGGATCCAGTTCCTTTGCCAATTCTCTGGCTGCATTAGTGAATTTTGTGCTCCAACGATATGTTTTAAAAAGTAGGCAAAAACAGAGTTTTGCACACGGGGATTTGTAGTTTATGCTTATGCACAAACCAAAAAAACAGAGTTTTGCACACGGGGATTTGTACATTATACTCCCTCCGTACGGGAGTAGATTCTAATCCCTCGAAGGGATATCCTCTCGTATACCTTTTTCTTCTAAATTCGATGTAAATAGTTATGAAAAATTCTGAAAAAAATTAACAATGTAGAGTATAATGATACCTACTAGTCCACCAAAATTGAAGTCCAAAGATTTTGTGGATATGTATATATGTGTTGTATGAATGTTGTCAAATTTTTTCAGAATTTTTTATAACCGTTTAGATGGTTTTTAAGCAAATGAGAGAACATCCCCTAGAGGGATTATAATAGTTTCCTCCTCCGTACTCGTAAAGAAAGTCGTTTAGGACAATGTTTAAGTCAAACATTGGGAATATAAATCATGAATAACTTTGAAAATGTAAAAATTATATAAATAGATTTATCTTGAAAAATACTTTTATAAAAGTGTGTGTGTGTCTATAAAAATAGAAACAAGAAGTCAAAGTTATATTTTGAAGAGCATGTCGCTGTCCTAAACGACTTTCTTTACGAGCGCAGCAAGAGTACTTTACAATTTTATTAGAGTATGACATTGCGTATTAGAGTATGAAAATGCGTTCATTTTTTCTCCTGATTTCAATCTTCAACACAAACCCAGCTCCACGGTTCATCGCATCAGCGTTCATTTTTTTTTTTCGATCTTGTTTGTGACGGGGCAGAAGACCATGATATGGTCTACTATTTCTTTTGGGGGTTTGCAATATAGAGCGGAACACTTTTCAAAGGTCTCCACAATCTAAACAAGTTTGAAATCATGCACATAGTACAGGTTTGAATCATGTCAAAAGTACCAACTTCAGATAGAACAATGATAAAAATGGCTCCAAAAATGCTTCAAACTAAGTTCTCCATTTGTATGGTACTCAGGACAACTGATGGTGCAAAATTTTCTTCCAAAAAAGGGTCTGGATAAATAACATTAGATTTTTGATCTAGAAGATAATATCAGCTCTGGAAATGGGAGCATCTACCGCTTCCCACCACCACCACCGAGCTTTGGGCCTTTCCCAGGCTTGGGAGCATTGCCTTTACCAGAAGCCTTCTGCGATTTTGCCACCTCTGCCTTCTTCGCTTTCTTCTCGTCCTTTGTCTTCTTGATGCGCTCCTTGATCTCACTGTTATGGAAATAACATTGATAAGTGTATAATCCTAGAAGGGAAAAAGGTAGCATGCATAGACACAATAATGTGCCGATCATCACTAGATTTAGAGTTCATAAACTAAGACAAGCTAAAATGATTTTAATAAATCTTTGCACAGCAATAATTTCTTACTACCAGGAAACGCAAGCTACACATTTCAATACTTGAAAACAAAGAGAGCCAATAGCCTGACACTGCTAGCATGGTAAGATGAGAATGTGGTTGAAATGCATTGGCTTCTTCAAATCCATACATGAATGGTGTTAAAAGAATCCATAAACCAGAGATGGCATAGAATAGCATACCGAAGAGCGGATTCCCTTGCTGCATCACGAACCTCTGGCTTCTCAGCTCTCTTCTTCTGGATGACTTCAAGGGTAGCACCAACTATAGACCGGGAGTACGGTTTCTTGGTGGTGCGGCGCCTCTTCTTGACTGCCTCGGCGTGAATATCCTGTAAAACATTGAATTACAAAAGTAAACATTTGAAGGACAATGCATTACATCACAAATTTAAATAAACAATAGATTAACTAAGATAGGTCACTGGTACCACAACATTCAGCATGACATAAAGTTAACAGTTCACAACAGCCAAAAAGTAGTTACATAACATCCTGAACCAAACAGCACTGTTCCAACAAGTTTGTCTCAGCACATTCACAGGCAACAGACCATCGGTACAAGAAACCTTCCAAGTGAAATATGGATGACAAGGAATTGTCACTCATACCTTCTTGTGCTGCTTTCTGTACATGGCTGTCCATGTAAGCTTGGCTGGCTTCAGACGGTTGTGGAAGTAGCGCTTGCACTTCGAGTTTGAAAACAGGAACACCTGATATAGTTTACCAAAGAAATTGATCAGAAATAGGTTAGCTTTTGTCCTACACATGTGTATCCATCTTGCCAAAGTACTCACCTGGGAGTCTGCACGGATGAATCTGATACCCTTCCCTGGGTAAATCTTGGCGCCGCTGAAACGGCACAGCTCTGTCCTGTACATCAGAATTCCCAAATTATGTAAGAAACTTTCTATTTGCAACATTCCAGCCTCGAAAATGCAGCACAGAATATAATGAAATTGAATTGTGCAGGGTGCAAAATACATACTTGAGAACCATCTTCGCTGCCTCACCAAACCTTCAATGCCTCCTTACCTGCAAATTACAACGTCAGGAATCATCGCTAGAGCAGAATATAAATGCATTGCAATGTACAGACCACAAAGATCTCTCCTCTTCAGCCCAACACTACCAGACCCCAATATATAGCAATCTAAATTAACAAAATTCTAGCATTTCTCTATCCATCAAACGAGTACAAGAAATGACGCATAAAGCAAATGCGATTCCACTAAGTTGCCATTCCAAATCAGTGCCCAAAAACTAATCAAAGGAAATCTAAAACACATTTGCAGCATTCGGATGCACGGACAACGCCACCACCACAACTCCAATCCAGCTGAAACCCCCATTCCCCATCACAGCATCACCTCAACCACCAAAACAACAAGCCCCACATCTAATCAAACGCCTCGATCCAATCATACGCGTCGAGAACGCGAACAAACCTAGCCGCCGCGCCGCCATCACACAACAGCCCGCAAAACCTACCAAGAAACAAGCGCGGGACTCGAAACAGCGAATACGCTACATACACGAGACGGCGCAGCAACGCCATGGCAGCGAGCAGCGAAGCAAATCCATGGGGGGAAGAGGAGCTCGACTCACCTGTGGGAGCAGCAAAACCCTAGCGCCTCCGCGTCCGCCTCCGCTGCGGCGCGCGTGGGAGGTGGTGCTCCCTTTTATAGTAGGGCAAGCGCGCGGCGGGATGGATCGGAGCCGTCCGATGCGGTGGGGGGACGGAATGGACGGGGTGGATGAGTTGGTGTGATGATAATGGGCCGGGCTGGTTTGTCGGGCCTTGGTCAAAGTGGGCCGTCGGCTTTTCTTCTGTACTCGGAATAAGTTCACTTCATAACCCTCAAAAGTGACTCGAATCTAATTCATGACCCTAAACCGCAAAACCGGATATCTTCACCCCCAAACTATTGAAACCGGTGCAATTTAACTCCCTTGGTGGTTTTGGATGGCAGTTTTGCTGACGTGGCAGTATTGACTCGGTCTTCTTTCCGCGTGGCGTTGACGTGGCGCTTAGGTGGCATTAAAAAAAATATGCATGGGACCCATTAGTCATTCACACACAAAATAAAAAATTGTGGGGCCCACTGACATGTGGGCCCCATATGTCATCCTCTCTCTCCCTTTCTTCTTCCTCCCTTCTCTCTTTCTTTCTCTTTCTCTTCTCTCCCCTTTGGCTGGCCGCGGGGGAGCACGGGCGGCTGGAGCTGGAGCGGCAGCGGCGGTAGCCTTGCCATCAGCCTTGCCAAGTGGAGAGAGGAGAGGAGAGGAGAGCAGGTGAGGGAGGAACGGAGGTGGTGGGTTACACGACAGGCGGCGGCGGCGCGTGAGGGCCGGAAGGGAGAGGGGAGAAGCGGAGCCGCCGAGCTCATGTTGTCGCCGCCGGTGCCTCCTCCCGCACTCGCGCTCGCCCGCACGCCGCCGGAGCCACCGCTCGACCCGCTCGATGCCTCCGCCGTCGACGTCCCGCGCCCACCGCCGCCGTCGACATCCCGCGCGATGTGAGGATGGATGCGGGGAGATGGTGGAGGACGGCGACGAGGAGCTCTGATCCCGGCGATGCGGATGGATCCGAAGCCGTAACCAGCCCGTAGACCACCGTCCCCCCGCTCGATCTTGTCGACGTTAGCGCTGCCATCCTCTCTCTCGTAGCTCTAGCTCGCCGGCCCACGCCCCACGCTGCCAACTCCAGCCCACCGCCGCCGCCGCCGCCGCTCCAGCTAGCTCCCGACGCCACCGCCGCTGCCGCTTTAGCTCCCGCCGGCCGCGTCGCTTCAGACCCCGCCCACCGCTGCTCGCTCCCCGCAGACGCCTGAAGTGGAGAGGGAGAACAGAAAGAGAGAAGGGAGGAGGAGGGGAAGTTCGGGAGGAAGAAGAAAGGGAAGAGATGGCAGGTGGGGCCCACATGTCAGTGGGCCCCACAATCTTGTGTGTGTGAATGACAAATGGGTCCCACATATATGTTTTTAATTGAAATGCCACCTCAGCGCCACGTCAGCACACAGACTAGGTCAACACCGCCCACGTCAGCGCCACGTCAGCGAAACCGCCATCCAAAACCACCAAGGGAGTCAAATTGCACCGGTTTCAATAGTTTGGGGGTGAAGATATCCGGTTTTGCGGTTTAGGGTCATGGATTAGATTCGGGTCTCTTTTGAGGGTCATGAAGTGAACTTATTCCTCTGTACTCTGTGTCTTTGTGCGTTTCTTTTTCTGTTCTTTTAGGCTATTTTCTGTGCTTTATGCGTTTGTTTGTGTGTGTGTGTGTTAAAAGAAAATTTTGTGTGCTTTGTGTTGAAAATTTAAAACAGTTTCAGAAGAAAAGAGAAGAAATCGCTAGGACGTTGACATTTGTCTTAAGATGACCGAAAAATTGTTGTTGCACTCCATCCCAAATAAGTGTAGTTTTATAGTGGCCCTCTGTATATCTTTATATTTTACTTCAACTTTTCCATCCAGATTGTAGCTATTGAACCAATAGTAATCTCTACTTACCTCCCCCCCCCCCCAAAACACAATCCCACCCTCTTATTTTCTTCATATTAGTGAAGGACGTAATCCTATATATTTATATAGTCCATCCACACTCAGTGTAGTTAATGCTATTTCTCTCTTCTTTCATGAAACCATATCATTTCAATTATTTTTTATTCTTTGGATGATAGATCTATAGTACAAATAGTCATTTCTTTCCTCTCTCGTAAAACCACACAATCTCAATTATTTTTTATTCAAAATTCATAAGTATCAATTACATAAAATATGTTCACCTTGCATTATATTTGCAATCATGTGTTGATTATATAAAACATATGAAGTCATTTTATTTTGGTTTACAAAATATAATATAGCTTATTTGTACATACGATACAACTTAATTTCCCGCAACAACGCGGCAGGGTATTCATCTAGTTATCTTCGTTATTACCTCCGTCTCATATAAATTGTAATTCTAGGTTATTTAATATATATTAAGGTTTGAGAATAAAGACTATAATTTTCTTATTAAATGGTGCATAGGTAAGAGCGAAAGGGTAGTTGAAGGTAAAATATGAAGAAATTTGAATGAGGAGTGATTAATAGGACCATTAGTACTTTATTGCGACAATTATTTTGGGACAAATTTAAACCCTATAAATACAATTATTATGGGACAGAAGTAGTATCTTTTAAGCTCTTGCTTAATACTATGTCTTTAACTCTAGCTATTTGAAATGTGGTTGCGTTGATTTAGGGTGTGTTTAGTTCGCGAAAAGAAAATTTTTGGGTGTCACATCGAACATCTGACCGGATGTCGGAAGGAGTTTTCAGACACGAATGAAAAAACTAATTTCATAAATCGCCTGGAAACCGCAAGACGAATTTATTAAGCCTAATTAATCCATCATTAGCACATGTGGGTTATTGTAGCACTTATGGCTAATTATGGACTAATTATGCTCAAAAGATTCGTCTCGCGATTTCCATGCAAACTGTGCAATTATTTTTTTATATCTATATTTAATGCTCCATACATGTGTCCAAAGATTCGATGTTATGTTTTTGGGTAAAGTTTTTTTTGGAAGCTTTAGTGTACTGACCGGCCGTTGTGTGTGTTCTTGACAAGGAAAAGTATCAATTAGCACTTGTGTTAGTGACAGAGTGACAATGACAAGTTAACGTCAGCATCCATGGCATTGATATAGAACAGAGATTTTTATTTTTGTTAATTTTACTCTTTTAGTTTCTGACATGAAGCAAATTGTCCACTCGTGCCACGTTTCCACGCCATCGTTCTAGTGAAATTACATGAGCAATGCCGTTCACGTATAGTTGTCATCACAAATTCACGATTAATTAGGAACACTGATGCTGATGTGTATAACAAAATTAACCGCCTAACCAGCCATCTGCTTAACCAAAGAATGATTAATTAACCAAGTAGTCGCTCCCTTCTAGAATGATGACGTTTTAGAATGCAATGTATTTTGATCCCAAAATCTTAGATTAATAAATAAACAAATAAATGTCAAAAAAATAAATAAATATTTACTATGTGAAAGTGATACTAAGTAGATTTTTGGTACCAAAATAATTTCATTGTCATTATTTTTAATATGTTATTAGAAATAACAATGATTAAATATGTATATCAGAGACTACTTACATGTCCTAAACATCATAAGAACGAAAAATGTTAATTAATTGGTAGAATCGGTGGGCGCAAATGCATGCTAATTGATTATACCATATATCTCCCCTGCACTTTACTCATCCATAAAATTAATATGACATGTGTGCATGAGTGCATCGTTGTTTTTTTTCTTTCTTCTATTTTTCTAAAAGCACAGTAGAAATGCAAACTATCACAGCGTGCGTATGCTTATACTTATGAATACACGTATGCACCTCTAATTCAATGAGTATCTTATAAAAACTGAACCGTACCGTTATATGTTAAGATTCACGAGATCACCATAGACGCATCGTTGTCGAGTTATGTCATCTACTATTGAAAGAATAATTTTGGTGACTCGTATTAAACAACAAGTAACTTTGGGATGAACGCATTGCGTGCATTTATATACAGTCATTGAGTCTACCAGTTTTTCCTTAAAAAAAAGGGAAATTTACGCACATATATAATTCGATCACGATTAACCGTGATAAAGCTAGCCCCTCAAGCTTTACTTTAGATGATAAAGCTAGCCCCTCATGTTTAGTTTAATTACCTGATGTCGGTTAACCTAACCGTCATCGACATGTCAACCATAGAAAAAAAAGGGAGAATTTGAATCACATCCAGAGGACAGACCTGTTGACAAAATGACCAATACTCCCTCGATTCCAAAATATAAGGCACAACCATCCTTAACCCAAAGACCAAAAAATAATTATTATCATCTTATAGTTTAGATCATCCTAATAAATATAATGCATGCATCCAATAGAATTAGATAGCATGAGAGTGGAGGATTTAAAAAAGTAATAATTTAGGCCCTGTTTGATTCAGCTTAGGATTATTATAATTTAGCTTATTAGGAGTAAGCTGAAACAAACAAGTAGATTATTATAGCATATTATTATAATCTAATAAGCTGCTCTAGAGGAGCTTTTTTCAGATTATTGAGTGGCTAAAGACCCACTACCCCTACATACTTGAGAAAAATTAACCACCTATGCCATCAACCGAACAGATAGCTGAGGGCATTATAGACTTTATCCTTTCAAACCCAATAATCCATGCCTCCAATAATCCAGACAAACAAACAACTCACAGCTTATTATAATCTAGTTTATAGTAATCTGGCTTAATAATCTAGATTATAATAATCATAAGCTGAAACAAATAGGACCTTAATAGATAAGATGTCATAGTTAATTAATTGCATGCTTGCATGTATGCCTTAATATTACGGAACATCTAAGAAAAATGGTCGTTTCTTGTATTATGGTATTATGGAATGGAGGGAGTAATCGCACGTAATGCCTGCCGACTCACCGTAATATGAGGCTGAGAAGTTGATTGCAGACCATCTAGTGCAATCAATGGCGCTCGCTTTCGGTGATTGTTCCAAATTAATTACGGAGTAATTAGCACAACACGGCTCGCCGCCCTTGCCATCCCATTTAGGCACATGGACAGAGTTGAAATGTGTTGAGAGCTAGGCTAGCTAGCTGATTTTTTCGGTTATCAAATTGAGATATTCAATCTAGTCTCTGAATTGACTGATATCAAAGTTTAAAATCTTTAACTATAGATAAATTTTAAAATGTTTGTATTAGAAATATTGGTCTCAAAAGGTACTTCAAAAATCACATTTTTATTGATAACAATAATCCTATATATATATTATAATAAAAAATAGTGATCAGAGTTATTTTTTAGGCCGTGTCTTTATTTAAAACGATAAGTATTATTAACCCGGAAGGAGTGTATCTGATGGTATTCCAAACTGATTAAGACTATCGAATTAGTTACCATGGTATTGGTTAGAAAAAGGAACATGCATCGAAAAACTAAAAACCAAGATACCGCTATCACTTTTTGGGGAAAATGTGTAGGAGCGTCCATTTTCAGATTCAACTATATTTTTCAAGTTTTCATTACATACATGATTTTCACTACGTATTTTCTTCACTTGAGGTTCATACAACAGTGATAGTGGCAACAATAATGCTGGTCGAGAAAAACTGGTAAGCATATTCCCTGAGCTGAGTTTGAATCGGCTTTTCCAGCGATCGTTTTCTGTAACATACTTTTTAAAACACTTTTTATATAGATTTTTCTCAAAAAAGATAAATTATTTTTTTTAATTTATAATAGTTCATTTTCAATTAATCGTATACTAATTGCTCATCTGTTTTGCATGCCTGGAAAAGTGTAACCATACTGCCCAATCGAATGAAGTCTTTAGCTTTGTTGTTTATTCTTTTATGCTCGACAGATTAAAAAAGCTACGCACCTACATATCATGTATTCATGTGTATACAGCAGATTACGAAGACGGCATGAGTTCAGTTCTCTTAATTTGCCGGATTAGCTGGTCGATAACCATGTCATTATCTTGGTCCCCAAGGAACTATTTGTTTACTAATGAGATTGATAGTTGAGCCATCTCAATTTAAAAATATAGTACTTATTAGACCTTTGGTAAGGAGTATATTAAGGGGATGAGATATTTTTCAATATAAATTATGAACAAGAAAAAGGTATATATAGCAAAAAAGTAATAAAATAATAACCAGATCATACATCTAGCCATTAATATCTGCTAGTACCGTAGAAGAACTCATATGAGGAGTAATCAATAGCATGTAAGAGCTCTCATATTAACTTGGAAATTTAGTCGTTGATTAGATGATCGTGTTATCATGATTATATGTCCGTGAGTATATTTCACAAAACTACATATATTTTGACTAAACTATCAAAAAACTATATATTTAAAAATATATATGTATCATAAAACTACAGATATTTAGCACCAAATTTATCATAAAACTACAGGTTTAAAACATTGTATCACAAAATTACAGATCGATTTAGTGATGAAGTCATCAAACAACTATAGATTTTAGTGTTTATACGATGGCACTATCGAGGTTACAAAAGTTGTAGTTTTGTGATAAAACTGATCGATATTAAATATGTAGTTTTCTAATATGAAACCTTAAATCTATAGTTTTGTGATACATATCCTTAAATCTACAGGTTTGTGATAGATTGATCAAAGTCCCTATAGTTTAGTGAAATTTGCATGTATTTTCCATGTGCCACGTTTAAAAGCATATCTTCTACTCCCTCCGTCCCATAATATAAGGGATTTTGAGTTTTTACTTGCAACGTTTGACCACTCGTCTTATTTAATTTTTTTTGAAATTATTGTTTATTTTATTTGTGACTTACTTTATTATCTATAGTACTTTAAGCACAACTTTTCGTTTTTTATATTTGCAAAAAAAATTTGAATAAGACGAACTCAAAATCCCTTATATTGTGGGACGGAGGGAGTATATGTTGTGAGAACTGAGACTCCAAAATAAATACATTGACTAAAACTCCAAATCAAGTACAACTCAATATTTGTTAATTACAAATTTCACAATTATTTAGTCATGCCAAATCTCTTTAACCATTTTTAAACATAAAAAATAAAAAGCATTGCAACGCAGAAGTTAGCGAGTAGTATTTATAAACACGAATAAGAGTATGAATTGCTACAATACATATAGTTACTTCGCAATTCTTGTTTTAGCCGTTGTACTATGGTATACTAATTGTAAATGTAGGAGCTCTCATATTAACTAGAATGATTTAGCTGTTGCTTAGATAATTGTATTACATGACTGCAGATCTGTATTTTTCATGTTCCACATTAAAAACTCATCTATTGTGCATGTTGTGGTGATTGAGACTCCAAACCAGGTATAACTTAATGTTTGTTGATTACAAATTTCACAATTATTAAATCATGGAAAATCTCTGTTAATATCTTTGACATCGCTCAGTTATCATATTTAACTCCCAAGTCTTAAACAAACCAACATGTTATTACAAGAATGTCTAATGTAACATCACATTCCAAAGTTAACTAATGTTACCACAATATGGAAAGACAATTAAGGTTCAATGAGGAAGATTAGCTAATAACTATACTGCATCTTCCATCATCCTTCTAAATTCTAAGTAGCTGATCCTCCCATCTCTGTCCTCATCGAAGGTGTGGATCATCCTCATACAGTCCTCATACCTTTGCCCTTCTTTGAACCCTAGCCTCCTCATCACGCTCCACAGTTCCGAGGCACATATGAAGCCATCCTCATTGCGATCGAACACATAAAAGGCATCCTTAAGCTCACCCTCGCTCGCCATCTTCCTATCCAACAGCTCATCCACGGTAGCATCCATAGGGATGTCACACCCTTGGCACTCCATGGCGGCCTCCCCACTCCTTTGCCACCTGAGGCCTAACCTCGTTGTGACAGTCATTGCATCAAAGCATGACACCCCTCCTCCAAGCAACTGCGAAGAAGGAGGAGGGTCGTTGTCCACGACCATAGAGTTGATAACACTATCGTCATGCGCTAAGAACCTTGCAATTGCGCTAAATAACCTTCCAATCTTATTACTTACCGAAATCACATCTATGATCAATGGTCCCAGTACCAACATCATGAGGGATGACACCAGTGGAATTAGGATGTTGTGATCCATCATCATCACCCACTATATATCTTTGTGTGAAATGCAGCAAATTGAACAGCAATGAAATCCAGTGTACCTTATTGAAGTGCTTACTCAAAGGAACATCTCAACTTACATGCAAATAGCCTGTATATATAGCTGACATAGATCCTTCAAGATATCCATAAGGTGAGTCTTTGCATCATTTCGGAGAAATTCAGAGGAAGATGGATATGCTATTATTGCCTATCTTTATTTTTTTTCTATCTGTGTAGATATTGGAGATGACTTCAGACTTAATAAAAGGTTATGGCTGCAAGCTGTCGATGAAACTTCCTGGAAATTACTCAAAACAGCTAGGACACAAATGGTTTTCGTAACTATCACCAAGAAGGACAAGGAGATATATGAATATTAATGCCAAACAATAAATGGCCACATCTTTTCTAGCCTTCTAGCTGATATCAACCTCCCCTCTCCCCCCTAGGTACCATTCGACAGAAACCCTTGCGAAATTTCGGAAGTAATCGCTTATTGATACTCCTTTCTGTTATAAAATAGGCTTAAAATCACCATCAAAAACCAAACGCGAAAAAAATTATAGGAAATTCAAACTAATGATAACACCGAGACACGATATTTTATAACGAAGTTCATCCGGGACACTGATAACAGGCGTTCCTCCCCGATCTAGGTTTCGATCAAAGTGACAACGACCCTCTACATGTTGCTGCTGGCAGCCGCTCCCTCTCGCTATGCTAAGTCGACATGCGGTTACAACAGGTGTGCCTCTCTATTTAAAAGAGATCCGAGGACATAATCTGACTCTTACTCTATTTATAGTATACAACTCCAAGTCCTAAACTGTAACCGACTACGTGCACATATTTGTCACAAATTAAACTCTAACACTTTCTATCACGACAACATGTTGTCTTAGACATGTATCAAGTTAAAGTTCAAAAACATCAAAATGAATATTTTTTTTGAAATATTTAAATTGGATAATTTCTTATGGGTAGATTTAACTCAAAAGCACTTTTATAATATTACATTAAATCATGTTTTTCAAATGTTTTAGAAAATAAATTAGCAATCAAAGTTGCATGTTGGAGACTTCTTCAATATATAGAACGACATGTGGCCCCATCGTTTCGCTTTCGTGGAAGAAACCAAACGGCATGCTTGCAAACAAAAAGTAATTTGTGAATAAAACTTTTATATACGTGTTCTTAGCATTCTAAAAGTAAATGCCGAAAAATAAACTTCGATGAAAAAACCACAAGATCAGTTCCAAATTTAAGGTTGAAAATTCAAATTTTGGCTGATAAGCTTAAGAGAAAAGATGAGGCCCCTTCTTATGACCAGCGCAAAGTAACACACCCGCCAATGGTGAACGTGACTCTGTGAGCGATGACAACTAGATTCTATACATATATACTACTATATTGAAACATATCCGTGGAAATAACCCTTGTCTTTTCAATAGAAGTAACAATATCATGTTTGTCTATCCAAAACTAAAGTTGTAGCACACATATTATCTTATCATTGTTGATCCTTTGGCCATTAATAGAAGTTGTATATCCAACAATTTTCATTTTGATAATATAGGTCATGCCGTGCAAACAGACTGTTTTCGGTTCATTGTCACCAAATGGAACATTAGGAAGACCACTGAACTTATTTTCAGAATGAAGACAAGTTCAACGAATAGTGTTTCTTTGAATTTAGAATATGTGTCATCTAGTAATACTAGTACACTTTATTCTGAATTTCTGATGCCTTGAACAAGAGCGCACACACCAGCTACATCGTGAAAAGCAATTAGAATGTGATACGGTCTTAGTTAATCTTCCAAGACTAGACACATGCAACTCTTAGTTACTGTTAAATAGGAAAAATGAAAAGGTATGCCATGGTTTATACAACCTTTTTTTAGTTAAGAACTTCTTTTCAAGAAAATGACTAACGGCTCTCTGTCATTAACAACCCGGGTGGTTATAGACATTACAGAGAACCTCCACATGTCAACATTGTGCTTATTAAACATGCCAGCATACAAATTTTCCTTACAACTCCTTTTTGAGGATGAAATATAGGTTAGCATTTTTTTATCATAATCACTCTCCAATGAAGTCCATTTCATTCAAACATACAATGCCACCCTTTTTTTTTTTCCTAAAAAGTAGTGTGCAATACAACTTGGCAAAGCCCAATGCTTATATGGCTGTTGAGTGCACGTAAGGTTGATATATGCCAGCACTCATCGCACTGCCTCTTCGATGTGATCAATCCTTGCTAGGTTAACACTAATACCACTTTTCAATTTACTAGTCACAGTCCCCTGCATTACAAACAGGAGGGTATTTGATGAAGATGGTTCAATTTTTTCTCTTCTCCCATATTTTTCTCTCGGTTCGGTAGTTTTTTGGTATACCAGTTTTTAAGAGCGGTTGTTTTATACATGAGATTAGGGTGATGACAACCACTATTAAAATTTAAAAATAGTATACCAGTACAGCAACAACCATTTGCTTACCGTTTCAGATCTAATGTTACCGACAGTTTTGCTACTCTACACCTGTATGGTTTTTTGTCAATTTTTTATCCCTACACTAGTGTAAGAACTACAGGAAAGGAGAAGAAATCCCTTGCATAGTTGTAATGTTATTACTCGGAAATGGGCCGGCCATCGATCAGACTTGGTCCAAGTCTTTAGCCCAATTCCAACACCCATATGTGGTTGTCTCTTCCCAAGTTCCAAACGTCCAGATAGCCCACAGGATCTGGCAGGTTCAGACTTTGACAGTTGACAAAGTTCTGAGACACTTCATTCGTCGACATCATCAATCAATAACTCCTCTAACCTCACCGTTTTTTTTTTGCCTACCTTGCTGATTTACACGTCCCTGTTTACTGTGGTCTGCTCCTCGGCTGAGTCTGTGAATTTTTGTGTTGCCGGTGCGCCGGTCATGTAATTAGTTAGGCTGGTTAATTGGGTAATTAGTTGCTGTGTTTGGGGTTTGGATGCCGGTCACTGTGATGCTTGTTCCCGGTTGGATGGCGCTTTGTATGGCGCGCGGCATGTGGCCATTTCTTGTTTTGGTCCATTTGTTTCTTCTGTTATTTCAGTTTAGCCTCTCTGTCCTGTACTTTGTGCCATCGTGCTTTTCTGTTTAGCCCCTTACGCTTTTTACAAATTGAATGTGAAGAAGACAAAATTCTGTTTTGGGGGTGTGTTTGTGGTTGGTAGTTATGCTGGGTATGTACATGTGCTTTTGCCCTGTTGACTTTTTTGGGTCTTTCTTGTTCTCTTTGGATTGGTGTTGTCTCCCCGTCGCTGGTGGCTTGCTCGTGCCGGTGGCCGTTGCTGCTTGTCATCTTCTGTTCCTGAATCGGTCGAGGTTAGTCCATCTTGCGGATGTGCTGTTTTCATTCTTTGTTGTTGTACTTTGGGGGTGGGGGTGTGTTGTTCCCCTCCCGGTAGTCTCTTCTTCCCCTTTGTTGTTCCTGATTCTCTGTTGGAGGTGACTCGATTTGGTGGATTTGGGGAGAGCTGTTTCTCCCCCGGTTCAGTTACTTTTTCCTCTGTTGTGACTGCTTCTTTCGGTTTCTTCTTCAATGTGTTCCTTTCCAGTGTGTTCGCTGACCGGAGGAGGAGCCGACGATGATGGGTGGGATTTGCGCGCTGGTGGTCGGGGATGCCGAGGAGGATGAGACGGAGCTCTGCGCGATCTGCGTCCACGTCATGGTGCCCGGACGGCCGGACGGCCAGTGCGCGTCCTCCCCGGATGTACCCGCGCCTTCCACCACGACTACGTCCACCGGTGGCGAACCATCTCGCCGCGCTGCCTCGTCTGCAATGCGTGGGTGACGCAGCGGTCGCAGGGACCTAACCGTCGCCGTCGCCCGCCCAGCCTGATCTGAGTTCTTGGCATGTCGGCGTTCCTACTTTCCTTATAATGGCTCAGCTCTTGGCTCTTGGTGAGGTATAGTTCTATTCCCGCTGATTGTCGTAGTCGGTTTCTAGGCTCTGCACAGTGCTCCTTGCCGATTTCTTGTTTTTTTTCTTGCGATTCTTCTATGGGTCTGCATGTAAATTGACTTGTTCTTGTATTTGGTGGTAGCAAGCAGTATGGTATGCAGGTTTTAGCCCTTTTCTCAATTTTTTGCTGTTTACTTTTTTCCTACATGTATTTTGTGCTTGCAAATTTTCCCAATGCGTCTTGCTTACCCTTTCCATGTGTTGGGTCTTGTAAAAAATTTCCCTTTTCATGAGGCCCTTGTGTAGGAAAAATTGCCCTCTTTGCTGTTGTGTGCGATATTTTATTTTATTTTTTAAACATTGTTCTAGTGTTACAGTTTTACATAGTTAGTAAAAAGGGTACCGTTGTTCGGAAGGGGTAAAAATAACTATGGGTCAACACACATATGGTCATATTTATGGGACCTGCCCAATTCCCGTTTGTAAGCGGCATCCCCCCCTCTTTGGGTGATGTAGGTTGCTGTGATTGCTGGTAACTTTTCAAGTGTATTTGTCAAGTGGTCTTAATTTGTTATTACTGCTACCGTATGTATTTATGCGGTTGTCATTACCCTGCCTTTTTTGTTGATTGAGCTGATGTTTCTTGTCGACCTTGCTGTCCGGTTGTCCTGCCTGTGGGCTGATTCGTTGCTGCGTGCGTTGTCTTCTTTGAAGGCAGGGTATTTACTGGGGGTGATTCATGTGCGTGTCGACCTCCTGTGGTATTTACTGTCCTCACAGGTTGTGCTGGCGAGTTAATTCACTGTTTATTGGTGTAGGTGTCGGCTTGCATGTCTATTGTTTGTTGTATGCGTGTCCATGCCCTTGCTTGCTGTCCCTTCTTGCCCCTCTCCTTTATATGGTTACTCTGTGCATCAGTGCTTGCTCTTCTGTTTTCCTTTCTACGACCGGTTCGTTATTTGTTTCTTCTTTGTTCTTTTTTTTCCCTCCCGACGCTTGCTCTGTTCTTTCATTTATATTGTGTTAATGTTGTACTGATCGTACGCCTCCTTGTTTCTGTAAAATTATGATATCCATGTTCTTACTTGTGAAATCTTATTAGGCACTGGGTATACTTACTTGGTCGTATTGGTTTATGCTGTCTGTATCATCTGCTAGAGCTCGTCGTGCCGCAATCCTTCGTGGTAGGAGTTCTTCCTCACGGCCAGCATGTGAATCAACACGATCAACAGGTAATTGCCTTTTCCTTCGTTACTATATTCATTTTTACTCCCCTTTTGCCCGAAATGTAAACGTCACTTCTCTAGATTTGAATTTGTCTTTGTCCTTTGCTTTTGGAAAGTTTGATTATGTTACCTTTTTTTTAGCTACCTCGTTCAATTCTGGCCCTTCGTACCAGTCTTTGGTCATTCGGAGGAAAAGGAAATTGGCAATCTTGCGTCGCCGGTTGTTTGCTTCACCAGGTTGGTTCTTTAGCCGTGTTTAGTTGCAAAATTTTTCTTCAAACTTCCAACTTTTCCATCACATCAAAACTTTCCTACACACAAACTTCCAACTTTTCCGTCACATCGTTTCAATTTCAAACAAACTTCTAATTTTGGCGTGAACTAAACACACCCTAAGGGTCCAGGCAATGAATTGCTTAAGACCCCTGTACTGTAGCTCTATTTATCCGTACACAGTACTGCACATGAATAGATGATTGCCTCTGTTTTTTTTTTGGTCGAATGCTCAGGAGGCCAGTAATACAATATGCTTTTAGATTTTTTTCTGGAAAATATTCTCATTGTTTGCGATAAGTCTTATAAGCTGACAAATAAATGAAGCAATCAAAATTGATATTAGGGTAAGTTCTTATACTTCTATAAAGATTAAGGCCAGAAAATAGAGAGGGATCTTAGATTTTGTCACAGATGATATGATACTTCACCCTGTGTGACATTTTCAACTGAGGAGTTGTAAAGAATATCTGCAACAATAATTTGGAAGTGAATCATGACAAGTATTCTTCATATAATTTACTAGCATGATTCTATTTCTTTTTGCAAGAGATCAATGCTGCTATTAAATTCAGTCAAGAGTGTATCATTACCTTTCTAACATTAATATTGCCCTTGGATCATAAGGCCACACCATGAATGCCTGCACTTTTGGTCTTTGAAAATATATTTGTATTGTTTTGAGGGTGAAGCTAGCTATGGAGCAACATGCACAGATTAGAAAAAATGTAAAAGTGCTTGGGAAGACATGTTGAATACTGAGCATGCAGATGCAGGTAATCGAAAGAAAAGTTGAAATGGATATATTATGCTTCCTAAGGTATTAAGAAAACATCTGTTTTGTTCTAACCCATGTATGCCCTATGTCAGTGACATTCTGAAAGAGCATTTGGCTATATACGATTCAAAAAAAAAAAGATGCTACCGAATTTTTTTGGTGCAAACATGCTTACATGCTTGAAGAGCGAACCATTTGCATCTTGCAGCTGCGCTGAAGTGGTTTGAACATGTTTGCAGACAAAATTGTGGTTTGTAATGAGCTCTTCCCACTTGTAATCCTTTATGGTGGAGAAGAATGCCAATCAGAGCATCCACCTAAATGAACACCCATTTGAAAGTGTTTGTCCTTTTTGTTAATAAAAATTATAGCCCAATTCACTTTTTTATCGTTCATCTTTGTTGGTGTATTGTCTTCTATTAAGCCACTTAATGACTTAATGGATTCGCAAGGACGACTTATACTTCATTGTACTCTGTTTATTAAACAAATGTAGACCATATTTATCAAAATATGTATCTACTATCTAATCATTTTATGTAGAACTATTTGCCATCGCGCGCGGCGTGGCGCCGCGCTCTCCTTTCTAGTAAAAGATCAAGGACCATTTCTTTCTTTCCTCCAACGACTTCAACAATGGAATATGTTCTGGCTTCTACACCACATAAGAGCAGGTATAATAGCATGCTGTAAGTCAGCTGTAAACATATTTTAAAGAGATAAATAAGGAGAGAGAAGAGCAGCGGGCTATAGATTTGTAGCCAGCTATAGCACGGACTTCAAGACGCAGTGTGTGTATGACAGATGGGACCAGATATTAATAGTATAGTATATAACTATTGTATGAATAAGCTTTTAGATTGACTATAAATGAATTGGAGCTAGTAGTTGGCTACGCTATTGAACTTGCTCTGAGTTTCTGGCAAGACGGTCAATCTGGGAAGAGGAAAAGAACTGCAGCTTACCTACAAAACATGCCTTTCTCTGAAGAATCATAGCTTCCTGAACTTTCTCTGAAAGCAATTGCTCTTTTCATTTCATCACTCTTTGCAAATTAGTAATTGCTCGGTGCAGGAGGAATTACCATATGCCAGCCTGACAGAAAGGGCCTTTATGACCAGGACATCTAAAGAAATCAATCCTGCAATGGTTCAGCTGCTGCATACAACTGATTCACCTGATGAAGAGATAGATATCAGGTATCCTTTGCTGCAAAACAAACGATATACTACTAGTATAAGGCCGAGTTTAGTCCCTTTGAATTAAGGATTTATATTAGAATTTCATAGGATTCAAATCCTATAGGAATTTTTTTCTATTTGGCCATTTGATTTAAAGGATTGAAGTTTTCAAATCCTATGAAATTCTTATGGAATGACACATTGCATATGGGTTTTGGAGGAAATTTAGCAAGAGCTCAAACCTCTTGGAAAATTTCCTTTGAGTTTATTTCTCTCATCCGATTCCTGTATTTTTCACGCGCTCTAATCAAACGACCATTCCTGTGTTTTGCAATCCTCTGTTTTACACTTCAATTCCTATCAGAATCCTATGTTTTTCCTATTCCTCCATTATTTCAATCATGCGATTCAAAGGGGCCCTTAGTTGCAAATTTTTTCTTCAAACTTCCAACTTTTCCATCACATCAAAACTTTCCTACACACACAAACTTCCAACTTTTCCGTCTCATTGTTTCAATTTCAACCAAACTTTTAATTTTGACGTGAACTAAACACACCCTAAGCTATCATGTGACCTGCTGGTTCACTGAGGCAGATATCAGCTGACAGCATAAGGCCTCTCACAGTGCAAGCTATGGGGCCCGTACCCCTAGTCCAAAAATTTGGCCCAAAGACATCTATCCCACAGTGTAAGCACCCTTAGTTGTGTTGTTTAATTGGATGAAGGTACTGTGTAAATAAACCGAGCCCACAGTGGGGCGTTACCCTGCCGCGTGGTCACGGGAGAGGAACGAAATTAATTTACTCACCTACCCTTCCAGCGACTTCTCCTCGCGCTCCCCTCCATCGCCCTTCGCCGCCTTGTAGTCCGCCGCACCCGCCGCTCCTCCTTCCCTTCCACCACCAGGCTCCGCTCCAGCCGCTCGTACTCCCCGTCAGCCGCGGCGCTCTGCTCTCTCTCTCTCTCTCTCTCTCTCTCTCTCTCTCTCTCTCTCTCTCACCTGTTCCACCGGCGCTGGCGTCGGGCCCCTCCTCTCTCGGCGGCGACGAGGAGGTGGAGCGAGGAGGACGGCGGTGGTGGCGCGGATCTGGAGCGGCCCGAGCTTCGCCCGTCCCGGGCGCCGCCTTGCTCGCCCCGGCTGCCGCGTCGTCGAGGACTAGGAGCTCCGTGGTGATGGCGCTCATCTCCACCTTCTAGAAGAACCGGCGGCGCGAATCTGGAGCCCCGAGGACGCAGCCACCTCCTCTCTCTGCCGACGACGAGGAGACGGAGCGTGGTGGTGGTGGTCGCCGCCACGATCTGTTATTTTGCTTCTTTTTTCTTTTTCATCTTGTGGTGGCAACAATAGTGTTTCTTGAATCCATATTCTTGAGTTCTTCCAATCCCCAAGATCCTCTGCCACATTTTTGCTTGCTGAATTTGAGGATTATGCTTGGGCGGGAGAGGATTTAGGAGGGTGAATCGGGTATTTCGCTAGGAGGATTGAGTGCGAGGTCACGGGTCGGCGAAGCAACGCTACCCACAGCGCGCGTTCCTTCCGTTTTCTCCTCCGCCCGTGGACTCGCGAGAGCGAGGTTTCACGCGTCTCTGCTTGGGGGCGAGGAGCTCAGTTGGGGCGCGCTTCCTCGCTCCACGCAAGTGCACATCCGAGCTGGCGAGGTGGAGCACCGGTCCACGTAGGTGCACTGTGAGAGGCCTTAACCACCATATGCAACAGGTCTCTATCATTTCAACCTCAGCAGATGACTGGAGCTACTGCCATGATGATTACAGGATGCATTATGTAGCCATTAATATTACGGAAAAGCAAACGGCAGAGTGCAGGACTGGTATGCGAAGCCCAGGAAGATCATGCAATGCAACCATATGCACGGCATTCTACATTTGGTAAAGTTCTCTTAAGAGTAAATTGCACCCACGGTGTAACAACTTGGCAGGTGGGTGTAATTTAATGTAATAACTTGAAAAATAAGCGTTCTAGCGCAACAACTTGGCAAGAAGGTGCAATTTAGTATCAGAACTTTATAAGTGATCATATAAATGCAACAACTTGCAAGGTAGGTACGATTTTGATACAATAAATTAAGAAGTTGTGACAACTTAATTATTTGGAGCATTTTTATATAAATTCAAATTTTTAAGTACTTGACAATATACTAGCGTGGATTTGTATAAACATATTTATATTTTTATCCTAATAACTAATAACTCTAATAACTAATAACTGAAAGTCAATTAAACTAGATGTAGAAATTATTATATTTCGGTTGATATTTGAGAAGATGAAGAAAACAAAAAATTCTTAAAGGTAACTGAATGTAAATTGTAAGTGCAATATAATTCTTAAAGATTAAATTCAGTATTATAAGGTAATATCCATAGGATTACTGTGTATTGGCATATTGATATCGTGAAAAACCTCACTTAGCATATGCTTAGCCAAATTGATTCACCGAAATACTAAATTGTCAAGTTCTTGTACTAAAACGCACCCACTTGTCAAGTTGTTGCACTCGGACGTTCAATTCTCATGTTCTTGCACTATATCTCACCCATCTGCCAAGTTGTTGTACCGTGGGTGCAATTTATTCTTTTCTTAAACAGGAGAAACAACTACACTACAAGAACATACTAAGGCCGTGTTTAGTTCCATTCCCAAAATTTTTTTTACGTATACGGACACACATTTGAAGTATTAAACGCAGTCTAATAACAAAACAATTTACATAATCCGCCTGTAAACTGCGAGACGAATTTATTAAGTCTAATTAATCCGTCATTAGCAAATGTTACTGTAGCACCACATTGTCAAATCATGACGTAATTAGGCTTAAAAGATTCGTCTCGCAATTTACATGCAAACTGTGCAATTGTTTTTTTCGTCCACGTTTAATGCTCCATGCATGTGTCCAAATATTTGATATGACGGAATTTTTAGAAGTTTGAAGGGAACTAAACACATCTAACACGGGTCCAGCCTTCTCGTAATTCAGATGCTACGCTAAATACTAGTTATTCCAATAAAGTTTGGTACAATGCCAACGATTTTTGCAATAAGTACCCTCTTTTGCATTCTCATCCTGACTAGTTTGGTTCAGACTTGACAATTGACAAAACCGGATCACTATTCACCTTTCTAATCTAACACAGCCTATAGGGTTCATTTCGTCCTAACCCTTTTTGTTCGTTTCCATTCACCTAAATTCATCTGTTTACAGTTTTCACGCCCGACAAATTTGGACCAAGTTTGAGAAGTTTCACAACTTAGGTAGCAAACGACTCTTTGGTGTTACTTATTAGTGTCGATAAGAAGACGAACAAAACATTGCATCGCCTGAATTGGATCGGTTGGGAGAAGTAAACGGCCTTAACGACGATCACAAGGATGCATTGCTCTCAACCCAAATGTATAGCACTGATTAAATTCAGTTCAATTCAACCACAGTTAAAAATTTACTCATGAACATTTCGACAAAAAAAAACTCAAGAACAAACGAAATTTACAATTCGCTTTTCTCCTTTACCGATTCAGAGATGAGCAGCTTGTCAAAAATAACAATGTGAAGTTATAAACATTTACCGATTCAGAGATGAGCAACTTGTAAAAAATAACAATATGAAGTTATAAACAGTGACCAAAACGCCACATGGCGAAGAAGATGTCAACCTAGTGCTAAAACTGCCTTGATAGATTGTAGTAAGAGACCAAGTGACTACAGAACTAGAGTAGTAGCTGCATCCTCATAGCAGCCGAGGAAACAAGCAATTCGCAGGACTGAAAACTGGACTGCCCCGTGCGGAAGAACACCTCAAATGTCAGAACATCTCAAATGTGTAAACCAATCTGAGAAACCGAAAGGTTCGACCGCTTCTTCAACCACCCAGCTCAAGTGGCTGACCAAAAAAAATGCTCAAATGGCACCAAGAATCCCGCAGAAGTTCAAGAATGCACTGCAACAACTGCGATCATTACCACAGTATTTTGCTGAATGCCCCTACTAAGAAAACCCTCCAGTCTGCGACATAAGTTCTGTACAAATGATTATGATTCAACTATAACGATGGCCTGCAGAAGGTTCCCGGTATTCTTATGCTGGCAACATAAGTTCTGTCTATAACTTGAGTCAGATTAAGAGTTCAGGGGTCTTCTTAGCCCAGCTTCCACCTGTGAAAAGGAAAATGTCAAAATAATGTCCCAAGAGTAAATGTGATTGCAATAATCTTTTGCATAAATACATCAACATAGCATTCATGAAGTACTACTAAGTACACTGATGCCAATTGGTAGAAAGTTATTCCGTCAACATGATTCAGCAAGGATTACTGAAGTGTCAGCCATGAATTAAGTATGATACCCATTCCACATTCTGACAGATTTATCAACTAAAATCCGAGAACTGGAAAGTGTGGTCCTCCAACTGCACATGACCAGATATCCAAAATCAACTAAAATCAATAGAGGCATCAGGGACCCATATCATCATAGGCCATAATTATGGCTTCGTACCAACATAATGGGTGCTCATGATAAATTGTATTTAAGACATGTAGAACCTTCATCAATTTGCAGAATCAAACCCAACTTAAATGAGACAGAAAATGTTCTTCCTAAGGACATTAGAAAGCCAGGGTTTTCGACATAAATGATGGGATTGTAGAAGTCTAAGAATGTGTTAATTACATTATGATTAAAAATCAGACATAGACTTACATCATTGGCCACAAAAGATCTACTGGCAAAAGATTTAAGTCGTGGAGATTGACCCGCAGATGTTGATCCACTATCATTACTACCACTTTGTTTATCACCCTGCAGACAGAGAAGTCGACATGAATCTAAATATGGTAGACTTCAAGAATTGATGACACAGACAAAGACATATACTTGAAGCACTGAAACTTTTAAAACATTTAATTTTGTGGTATGAAACTAATATATTTGTGGTATGAAAATTTTATCGCTAGACATGATAGAAATTCTCTCATGATATTATAATTCGAAGTTGTATATCAAAGACTGACAAATAAAATATGTCAAGTAAAAAAGCAGAGTAGTGCATATTTAAACACCTACACACAGGAAAATATTTTAAGAAAAAATTAGGAGGGAATACCTGATGAGTGCATGTGTTGTTTCGGACATCCGCGAAAAGAGAAGAATAGTAGGCAGGATCATAAATAGAACCACCCAATATATCATCAGCCATGGAATTTCGTCTAACTGAACTTGATCTTGGGCTCAAGAAACTATTTCTTCCATCATAGTTTACTTCATGATATGTTGGGGTGCTTGATGAAACCCCCAGCCTATACATCTGGATCCATATGAAGGAAGACAAAAACCTTACTGAAAACCCAATAATTTGCATCCACAACGCTAGTTTGAGTGATAAAACGAAAAGTTGACCATACTTCTCTTCAGGAGTAATATTCCTGTATAAATATAATATTAGATTAAAACTCTGTACAATATCAAAATATTCTCCCTGTATCTTAAAAAAGAAGTGTATTGGCAAATATTTCCATGTCCATCCAATAGCAAGCATAACAACAAACTTATGTTTTCAGGTTATAAGTTGATGCAAGGCATGGAATACTAGAAGCAACCAAGCGCCATCACACATAAATCCAAACAGGTTTCATCATACAAAGGTACTTCCATAACACACTTAATTCCATAACAAAATAATGCAAAATCTACACTGGCAAGTGGCCTGATACCAGTGCAATTGTCACAAAATGGGAAAAAGAAAATTTGAAGGATTCCCTTAACTTCCAAAAGAATTTGAAACTATTTCTCAGCACAAATAAATGACAGAAACAAGGGAATCAAGATTGGCACAACTTGAACTAGAATGAGCTCCAAAGGATGGTATTAGGATGTGTGTAGCATGGTTTGCATTTTACTACTTTTGCCCCATCACACAAAAATTAAAACAGGTTATGAACTATAAAATATAGTGGTTGATTCATTGCAGAAGACATACCATATAGCATGTGAGAAGAGAATAAACCAAGCAACATCAAGAACAATAGCGAAGAACAGAAGGACTGCATATGTCCGACCAAGTGTCTGGCTGCTACTCTCAATTGCAACAACAGCAAAGAGCCCAATTACCAGGTTGATCACAAGAACGCCATTGAACAATGCTCCAAGTGACCCAATCAGCGCACAACCAATCTGAGAAAATACTGAGAAATTAATTATGCAGATGAAAACTTCAGTCTTCAGTAATTCAGTTTTGGTGTGCAAACCCCTATTTCAGCATGATAAGCATTAAAGCAGCATGATAGTAGAAGGAACCAAATGTAAAAGCAATCAGTGAAGATAAGCATTTAGAATGTTAAACCATGATGACCTTGGAAAGAAGATAGTTTTTGCTTGGAATGAGAGATTCAGTGCAGCATCTACAGGATTAAGTCGTATTCGGTCAAAAGTAACTTGCTGCTAACACTGTAAGCATCAAGAAGATGACTGCCGCAATTAAAAAAAAAGGAGGCAAAACAAGGACATAATACAATTATGGAAGTAACATTAAATAACTCCTAGATTGAAGCAGAAAATTATATGTTCATTATTTCCTAAAATGCTACCTCTAACATAGACCAAAAATTTACTCAAATGCTAAAGTTCGCTTTACATCATAAACTCATAATAGAGCAAAACTAATTGCTTTGCAAGACAGCCATGAAGTCGTCAGAATCTACTCAAACATAGAAATATTGCACTAGTTCACATCAAAATAAGGTATATCTCCTCTTTTTCACCATATTTGCCAAAGCCCACAATGTACAATACCAAAATGGAACAAACTACAAAATCTAAGAAAAATAATCATTGATATTGGACCCTTCAAACCCTATTGTCAAGTACAAAAGCTCTCTGATATCATTTAGGCCTTGTTTGGTTTGGAAGGGATTGGAGGGGTTTGAGGGGGGCATAATAGGTGTGGTACAAACCGAATATCTCCCTTGGGGATTAACCGAACATGGCCTTAGTTGGTCAGAGTAAAGAGTGCAAATATAACAACTATAATCTCCACAAGCATTTTGAGAGAAGAAAAATCCCAAAACGCGGACTAAAAATATTGAGTGAGAAGCAGGTGAGTAGGTGATGCTTTTCCTGAAACATTGGGGATTGAATCTAACGAGTGGCAAGGCCCATAATCTGACAAGCAGGCTACCTCACCAGAATTGGGGAAATTCGCAGTCCTAGCAAAATGACGGCATTGAACTTCACACTTCACCCCAAAATCAGATCGAACTGAAACTACACACTTCTCCTCTCTTTCTTCGTTTGATTCACGCAGAAGAACGAAAGCCTAAACCTCATTGAACCAAACACCCCAATTCGCCAACACAATCCAGACGCCGCGAGCACCAACCACAAATACAAATTCGGCGCTGCCATTACGCCCTAACGCCGCCCGCGGCAGTTGCCTCTAATAGATAGGTGCCACAAAACCTAGGGCACGCGCTCAAACTCTCTCGCCTCTCGGTTCGCAAAAACAACAAGCGATCTCGTCCCGGGGGAGGCGCCGATCCGGTAGATGAGGGGGGGAATGCGCGCACCTGGAGGTAGATGAGGGCGAGGGCGAGCGACTGGAGCGCGTCGTAGTCGCGGAGGAAGGAGCGCAGCCGCGGCCCGATCCCGATCCCGAGCGCCGCCGGGCAGGGGCAGCAGCAGCAGCAGGAGCGCATCCCGGCACCACGCCGAGCCCGGACATGCAAAACCTCGCGGGCGGTGGTGCGTTTGGGGGGTGGCGCGGCTGCTTCCTCCTCCTCCTCCTCCTCCTCCTCCGGCGGTGGCGAGCGGCGAGCGGCGTGATCGGCGGGGAGGATTCGCGGCGAGGGGGAAGGGAGGCGAGGAGATTTCGCCTGCTTCGGCTTGCCCTCCGGCGGCCGATGGTTTTTTTTATTATTATTTTTTGGGTGCTTTAATTAATTAATTCGGTGACGGCGAAGGAGGGGCAAGAAGACGTTTGCGTTGCGTTGCCAGATTTGTTTGGGAACTAAGGGTGTGTTTAGGGGGTGTTTAGTTGGGGAAAAGTAAATTTTTGGGTGTCACATCGAAAGTTTGACCAGATGTCGGAAGGGGTTTTCGGACACGAATGAAAAAAATAATTTTAGAACTCGCCTGGAAACCGTGAGACGAATCTTTTGAGACTAATTAAGCCGTCATTAGCACATGTAGGAGGTTACTGTAGCACTTATGGCTAATCACGGACTAATTAGTTTTAAAAGATTCGTCTCGCGATTTCCTCCATAACTGTGCAATTAGTTTTGCTTTTTATCTATATTTAATGATTCATGCATGTGTCTAAAAATTCGATGTGATGTTTTTGGGAAAAAAATTTTGGGAACTAAACGGGCCCTTAGTTGGGGAAAAGGAAATTTTTGGGTGTCACATCGAACGTTTGACCGGATGTCGGAAGGGGTTTTTGGACACAAATGAAAAAACTAATTTCAGAACTCACATGTAAACCGCGAGACGAATCTTTTGAGACTAATTAAGCCGTCATTAGCACATGTGGGTTACTGTAGCACTTATGGCTAATCACGGACTAATTAGGCTTAAAAGATTCATCTCTCGATTTCCCCCATAACTGTGTAATTAGTTTTTCTTTTTATTTATATTTAATGCTTCATGCATGTGTCCAAAGATTCGATGTGATGTTTTTGGAAAAAAGTTTTGGGGAACTAAACGGGCCCTAATTCGGTTTGCCTTCGCTTTATTAGTGGTTTCCAACTGAGAGACTGTTGGTGAAATGAAAATTTTTGGGTGTCACATTAGACGTTTGACCAGATGTTAGAAAGGATTTTTGGACACGAATGAAAAAAACTAATTTCGTAACTCGCCTAGAAACCGCGAGACAAATCTTTTGAGCCTAATTAAGCCATCATTAGCACATGTGGGTTACTGTAGCACTTATGGCTCATCATAGACTAATTAGGCTCAAAAGATTCGTCTCACGATTTACATGCAAACTGTGCAATTAGTTTTTCTTTTTATCTATATTTAATGCTCCATATATGTGTCCAAATATTCGATGTGATATTTTTGCGAAAAGTTTTTAGGTAACTAAACAAGGCCTAACTAAACTGGATGAATACCCCCTTGCTGCAGAAAATTAAGTTACTGTACATAATATATATAAATAATATGTAATTTGATTATCAAAAATAAAACAATTTGATATAATTTTAAGCCTAAAAATAATTGAGATTGCATGTTTTTAAGAGAGAGAAAGAAGAGACAATTTAGACCATAGATATATCATCTAAAGGTTAGAAATAATTGAGTTGATGTGACTTAATAAGAGAAGAGAGAAATAACATTAACTATACTTAGTGAGGATGAACTATATAAGTATATATAAGTATATAAGTATATAGAATTAGGGTTTGCGAAGCCATGGTTCCGATGCATCACTACATCACCTCATCGAGTGCTACCTCCGTTTTTTTAAATATATGATGTTGTTGAATTTTTGTAAATGTTTTCATTTTATTCAAAATATTTTACAAATATAAAAATATTATTTAAGTTATACTTAAACAATATTTGATGATAAATTAAGTCATAATAAAATAAATGATAATTACATATAATTTATGAATAAAAAAATGGTCAAACGTGTCTTAAAAATCAATGGCACCATATATTAAATAAATAGAGGGAGTAATACATATGAACCAGGGCTAAAACCAGCGGCCCCATCGTTTGGCACGAGGAAAAAGCGAAACGATATACTTGCAAATTAAAAAAAAATATGAATAAAATTTTTATATACGTGTTCTTATATCGATATAAAAGTAAAGGCTGAAAAATAAACTACAATAAAAAAATCCTAAAATTAACTTCAAATTTATGTTTGAAAATTCAAATTTTGGCTGATAAGCCCAAACAAAAAGACGAGGCTACAATACATTCATATACTACTAGCCAGGATAAATGTCGACTTGGAGGTAGCGATGATGTTATATAGCGCGATCGCTAGTACGCGCGCACTCGCCGGCGGCGTGCGTTTCAGGCCCACAAGGCCTAGCGCCGGCACGCACGCGCCTCCTTCCACGCTTTTTTTTTCGTTTTCTTTACCGATTTTTTTTGTTTTTTCCCACTTTTTTATGATTATTTTTTAATCTTTAGCATGCTTTGAGTTTGAAAGTTTTAAATTTTTGAGTTGAAAATTTTTAAATCTGAACTTGAAAGTTTTCAAATTTTTCAAATCTGGATTTTAAAGTTTTCGAATCTTGAGTTGAAAGTTTTCGAATCTTAAGTTGAAAGTTTTCGAATCTGAGTTGAAAGTTTTCAAAGTTTAACTTTAAAATTTAAATATTAAATCAAATTTTTTCAAATCTGACTTAAAAATTTTTAATCTGTTAGTAAAAAAATCTCCCGAAAAAAGAAACAAAATCTTGAGAATCTTCCCTAATTAGTTATTAGTGTTAAGTGTTAACTAATACTATAGAGTAGTTATAGTATTAGTAGTTATAGGGAAGTGCTCGCTGCTGGCGCGCGCGCGCCAGCTAGTAGCCCCCGTTATATAGGAATACACTGGTCCTACCTCTTTTTCTTTTTACTCTTGTCCCACTCAAAATGGTTTCATCATAGATTCTATGATCATCCAAAGAACTGATTTTACTTAGAGGGCAATGCACAATTGATAATAAGTAGTAACTCAGTTAGGCAGAATAACTAGAAGTAGGAATCAAGGTTTTTTTTTTATTTATATACGATACTAAGGCAACGGGCAATATGTTGTAAAACCTTCCTAGTGGTAATCTTATCAGCAGAGAAATGTGCCAACTCTTTATTAAAATTAGGGTGCATAATTTATTTTGTGTACAATAAAGTCATTGTCGTCTAATTCCCATTATAACTCAATTATACAATTTATGGTAGTATTTCTATATATACTGTATATCTACGGGCCTAATTGGCGACAGAAGTATGTACACGCGTAAGCACTAAATAAAGCCGTATTGCCAATGGTCCTGCTGGCAGCTTAACACGCATTACAGCGTGACTAATCTGACGCTAGCTAGTCCAACTTCTCGAACCTTGATTAAAAAAACACTTAACTTCTCAACTAATTCACTTGCAGGATTCGACAATAATATTCAATCTAATCGAACAGCACAGCTGTGTGACCATGTCATCATCATCGATAAAAGTTGCCTAAGGATGGTTAGTGACTAGCTAGGCAACTTTGTAGTTATAGTGGTTATAATAAGAGTTGTTTAGAACAATAGACTATCTTAGAAAGGAATTTAGTAGGATTAGACAGAGAAATGGCTGTAGGCAGGGGTCATTGAGCCTAGAGAATTTTAGAGAATTTTTAGAGAATTTTTAACTAAATATTAGTGGCTTTTCGTTGTAATTTTCTGTCATATGTGGGACTCAAGCTTAAGCTGCCCTGTACACTGCGTGCATCTTTAGTTGGTGTAGAGATCAAAACTTATAATTTCTTTGTAAAAGAGAAGATATATTAGATACGAGGTTATTTTTCTCTATGAGCGCCTTTGGATATCGTACAAATGCTCATTATAAATTGAATTTTCATTACGGATAAAGTTCATTGGAGGAAACTAAAACATCATTGCCCCCACCCCATCCCACCCCAAAAGAAGAAACATTATGTCAAATCTCATGGGGAAGTTTTCTCAAAAGTTCAAGGCAGTCTCGCTCTCTCTATATGGCAAGTCTAGTGAGCCATACTTAAATTAGTTTATCAACCTATATGTTTTAGTTTTCTTTCTTTTGTTTAGATTCACTAATATTTATACACGCATATGAAACACATAGATGAGTCCATATATGGCTCTATTTAATACCAAAAACACCTTAAAGAATGTACAGTGAAATTTTTTGGAATACCCAACAGACATTCAAAGGAGCAAATGCACCAATGATATCATCCACTAAAAGACATGAGACCTACCCTGTAGGCAGGGCCAGCCCTGGGCCTAGGCCGGTTGTGCAACTGCCTAGCCCCAGGGCCGTGCTAGGGAGAGCGAGGCGCTGCTTTGTCTCCGCGAGATCGAATGCCCTGTCTGAGTCGCCCTAACTCCAACTCCACGTCTCCACCTCGCCTAACCACCTCCACGAGACCGCGATAGGCCGACAGCATCACAACGGCACGTCGAGTCGCCCACTCGCCTTGCCTGCCTAGCGCCTGAACCCTGAAGCCTGAAGGGTGAACCGCTGATTCCTGAAGCTGAAGTACTGAACTGCTGAAGGTGGTGCTAATCAATTAGTTCAATATATATCAATTTTCATCATTTCAATTAATGGTTATTGTTGTATAATTTACTAGAATTTCACTATTTCAGATGTTACAATGTTACCTAACAAATATTTGTCGGGTGCTCAGTAAAGAAACAAAAGAAAGTGAGAAGATCAATTAATTGATCTCTTATTAAGGTATTTATAGTACTTTGTTTCCATGGTGTTTTTTAATTATCAATTATATTATCGTTATTATTTATCGAGAATAAATTACTATATTGCAACTTGCAAACTGATTGATTTATGAGCAATTTTATAGTCTTTGAGGAGGTACCAAACTTTACACTAAATTTTTGATACCTCATGGTACCTCCTCAAGAATTATATAATTGCTCTTGATTTATTATTTATCATATTAGAAATGTTTATTTCTGTTATAGTATATGTGTTTCATAAAGTATATATTAGAAGTAAAAAAATAGCCTTAACTTGTCAAGGGCCCATGCTACCAACCTCGTATAGGGCCCTCGAAATTGTTGAACCGGCCCTACCTGTAGGAGTAAACCCATCACGAATTTTTCACTTTCTTGTCAGTTTCCCTAGAAGAACAATTTCTATGGGTATTTTTCTGAGGGTCGAACATAAAAAAAAATCCACTGTCGTCAGGTTTTTTTCACCAAAATTCTGACGTGGAACTGCAAACGTGAATGGTGGTTGCAAAATAATGTTAGATACCAGTTTTAGAAAAAAAAAGTAATTAACAGGCCAGTTATTATGGCACTCCCAACCCATAACACTAGACATGGTTTTCATAAACTCCACATCATCAAGAAACTAGTACTAGACGCTACTCTTCCAATGCAAACACCACTATTACATACTTCAATTTAATGCTACTTATCTCACATGATGTCTTGGATGTTGTGTAGAACCCATGTCTCATGCAAGATATGGTTTCCTTCCCTTTCCTCATTTATTCACTTGCCACATCATTTTTTATCCTATGTAGCAACTTATTTAATGCTATGGACACCATCCTAGTCATTGGGTTTGAAATGCCCTTAGTGGTTACCGGGCAAATGTTTGAATCCGAAATCTTAAACCTATATTTTTTTTTCTGTGCAAAATGCATGCATTTGGGTAGGAGGAATCCTTCACGACAATTAAAACAGGTGATTTTATTAAGCACAAACCAAAAACAACTCTTTTCCATCCACTAGATTAGGATCACTCTATATGCCCCCAATCCCCCGTTAGGTTTCTTGCCGTGGGATCTATTCACTTAGGTTCAAGTCTATCACACTGCACGATGCTCATATCTATGCCTATTTATTCTTTTAGTAGAGACTATGTTCTTAATACTCCATCCGTTTTAAAATATTTAACACCGTTAACTTTTTAGTACATATTTGACCGTTCGTCTTATTCAAAAAATTTGTGAAATATGTAAAATTATATGTGTACATGAAAGTATATTTAACAATAAATTAAATTGTATGAAAAGAATAAATAATTACTTAATTTTTTTAATAAGACGAATAGTCAAACACGTAATAAAAAGTCAACGGTGTCAAACATTTTGAAACGGAGGGAGTATATACCAAGCAAAAGTCTTTTAGAGATGTTTACAAGAATAAGATGTGTGTTTGAGTGTATCTTCATACGGATGAGTGTACTTCCAAGATCGGTTTTGCAATCTCCCAAGGAAATATTACTCCCAATAACAAATTGCAGACCAGAGATGAAAAACATTTTCCCATTATCTAACATTATACATAATTGCAACAAAACTCTAATAGTTAAAACTAGAGCTGTTAAATTAAGTTTCAACCATTCTAAAGGTAGGAAGTAAGAGTAAGTTTCAAATCAAATACGGAAATTGAACAGTTTCTCAGATAATCTCTTGAGTATATATTCTAGCTTTGATCCGAGCCATTCGTCTCAGATCGGACGGTCAGGAAACGTCCATGCAGTTTCTCTTCAAATATAGTAGCCGCCAAAAAAGCTGGGAATCTCCAGCTCGTCCAGCCCGCGAAGCACCTCGTCGTAGTCAAACCAGTCAACATCTTCCGGCGCCGCGCCGGAGACCTCGCCGGAGAAGCCACCATGCTGCCGGTGGTGATCATGATCCTCGCCGCCGTGTTGCTCGAGCAATGGCGGCACCGGCGAGTCCTCCGTCTTCTGCCCTTCTCCCTCGACAGTGGCGCCATTGCCGTCGCCCACCAGCTGTTCGAGCTCCGGCCCGGTAGTGACGGTATCCTCGCCGGAGACGGAGAAGTCGACGGCGGTTTGGTCGGCGCTCTCAGGCTCAGGGCCTGCGTGCGCCGCCGCGCTCTCGGCGGAGTGCGCGTGCTGTGGCGGCGGCGGCGGCGGCGGCGGCAGCAGGATGAACGACGGCATCACGACGTAGCGGCGCTCGCGCTCGCCGCGGAGCGCGCTCTCCCATATGGAGGACTCGAGCTCGGTCAGCCTGGAGCGGCCGGCCGCGGCGGCGAGGCGGCCGAAGTCCGGCGCGACGTGCCTCACGACGGCGACGAGCACGGCCACCTTCTCGGCCTTCGCGAGGCGGCGCGGGCTCGCGAACGGCACGGGCGTCGCCATCCGCCTCCCGCGCAGGTGCGCCGCCACCTCGGTGCCCCACCACGGCTCCTCCGCCGTCGGCCACCACGGCGGCGGCGGCGGCGGCGTGGCGCCGCTCTTCCTGTCCCGCCGCGCCACCAGCGGCGGCGTGCACTCCTGCGCCATCTCCCTCATCATGCGCTCCAGCGTGCCGTTGCGGAGCCTGCAGAGCGCGGCGGCGAGCGGGACGCCGCCGCCGGCCACCGGCGCCATTGGCATCGCCACGTAGCAGAGAAGCTGCGCTTGCATGGTCACCGGCGACAGCATCAACGGCGCGACGCCAACCATGGGCATGGCCGCCACCGCATTGCGCGCCACGCCGTGGGTCTGGGAGAGCTCGTCGCCGGGAGCGCGTCGCCGGCGCTTGGCATGCTGCTGGTGGCTCGAGGTCGAGGAGGAAGAAACCCTCTTGCCGCTCGAACTGCTGGCCATTGGTACAGTGCTTGATTAATCCTGAATGGACACATGATTTAAGTTTCAATTATTAATAATAATTTGCTTTATTACCAGAGCAAATTAACAAGCAATATTGATGGAAAAAACTTGCCCTGTCAAAATAAAATGATCAAAATGTAAGAAAGGGTGAGGCATAGTATATTTTGATGTCTGAAATGATCTCCTTTTAATAGAATCCGTTCAGCATTTTGGAAAACTAATTCAATTCTCTTCCTCTTAGAGTTTCTCGATATGATAAGAATGTTTGATCTTATCATATATTTTGATGTAATCTGGCACAATCCGTACTTTCTTCTGCATAGAGTTCTTTTCAGCAACTCGTAATAACAATTTTATCATTTTTCGTCAGGGTATGCTTTTTTATCATTTTTCGTCAGGGTATGCTTTTCGAACGTTTAAACAATTTATCAACATGGAAACTGAAATTTTTGTCAATAATCTCATAAAGAAAATAAATAGCTGGTTTCCTGCCAAAAATAACAGGAGGGAGAACTTTACAGGCTAATTAACTAAGGGTCTATTTGGGAGCTTTGGCATTAGGCTATATTCTTCGTCAAGGGTTGGGAACCCTTCCCGAAAATGAAGCAACAGATTAGCATGTGATTAATTAAGTATTAACTTAAAATTTTTTTAAAAATAGATTAATTTGATTTTTAAGGAAACTTTTGTATAGATTTTTTTTAAAAAAAAACATACCGTTTAGTAGTTCATAAAGTATGCACATGAAAAACGAGGAAGTAGAGGTTGGGATAAGAGACTTTTGAATAAAGCCTTACGATTCTAAGAAGTCGTTTGAGGGCCTAAGACATATATAGATAGATGCCAACAGTTTTTTTTTTTTGAAATTTTCGCAGGGGGGAGAGATTCCCCACGTGAATTTCATTAAACTGGAAGGGGACAGGAAGAAGTTCGAATTACAAATTTAGAGATCACAGGGAGGAAGAGAACAATTCTTTCCACGAGGAAATTACAATTCTTTCGCAGTTATCATGTATACAACTTTTATCGCCAACTGTAAGCATCTGGTGCAGTCATAGAAAAAAAATGTGTAGTTTCCTACCCAAAATACAAATTATTACTTCATCCGTTTCACAATGTAAGTCATTCTAGCATTTCCCATATTCATATTAATGTTAATGAATCTAGACATATATCTATCTAGATTAATTAACATCAATATAAACGTGAAAAATGCTAGAATGACTTACATTGTGAAACGGAGGGAGTATCAGCTATGGGACATTCTATTTCCAGAGCCAGCGCGTCCAATGTGAAATGGTTTGGTTGGACAGGTCCGATGCCACAAAAGGATATGTGTTTTTAGACCGAGCGTGTGTATTGCAAGCCACACACCATGTTGTCATCACAAGATAACTTTTACGCACAATTATATTGTAATCATAACCTGACTCCTAAAACATGTTTGCGATGACTGATGAACATGAAAATTATTTGTTCAAAACTTCTCTTGAAAGGGTTATTTTATATGGTTTTGCATAGTTTAGAGATATCTGGTCTTTTATTTCGGTAAAGTCGACCAACAGCATAGTCTACCATATCTTTTCTAGCATCTAACATTTGAGAAGCTCATATAAAGCAACATATATATAGTTCATTTTCTTAGTGTTTTAAATCATGTTTTTGCACTCCGTGTTTTTCTACATTCATGGTTTCTATGTAAAAGAATATGTACTTGCTGAAAAGGCTTGAAACTGTACATAAGGTCCCAATGATAGGATTAACTAGCAAACAAAGTTAAAAAATCGGCAGATTTTAGGAGAAAAGCCATTTTCAAATGTAACCAAAATCTTAACTTCATCATAGACAAACACTACTCAAATCTTTAGACAACCTCATACCTAATTACCTAGAATGCATGAACTATTTACTCGAAGTGAAAATCTTAACACAAAAGATGAATAAATTGTGTACCTTCAAGATGATCACTCAGCTGCCATCTTTTCATTAGAGACCAACAGCCGCTTTGTTAGTCTTGAAGACATAGCACTCGGCATCTGGAAAACTTGTAGTCAGGTGAACGATGGTAATGGTCACTGTAGTCCTATATATAGGGAAGAGGGATGCAATATGAGTTGGAAACAGAAACCATGGATTGGTACAGTTCTTCCATATATAGAAGATGACCACGAATGCCACTATATGCAATAATTACTTGCGAAAACGTATTTGATATTTCCAATTTTAAATATCCCAAAGTTTTACATTTGATAATGCCATGGTGGCAACATTTAGAGAGAGGGTAGGCACATCGGTGTCGGCTTGCAAGGGGAATGTTGAATAGTTCCACATTGGTTGTCAAAGGGCAAGTGACACTACTGGAAAACTGATCTTTGCTAGGTCGTCCCAAAACCACAATAGTCCCAGTTATAAAAAGAATCGGGATCTTTAGTCCCGGTTTAAAACCCCATAGCCATTCTACGATCTTTAGTCCCAGTTGGTAACACCAACCAGTTCATCCCCTGTCAGTCCCTTGTCAGAGGGGCGGGGATCTTTAGTCCCGGTTGGTGTCACAAACCGGGACTAAAGATCACCATTTTATCCCGGTTGGTAAGTAAAGATCCTAGATATTTACTCCCGGTTGGTATTACCAACCGTGACTAAAATCACGCATAGTATATAATCCTTATTCCCTATCCTCTCCGCCACAACCGGCCTCAATCTCCTCAACAACCGGCCTCTCCTCTCCTCAGATCCATCTCCCTCTCCTCCTCCCCCTCCTCCCATCCCGGCCCTCTCCTCCCCCTCCTCCCTTCCCATCCGATGCCCAGCGAGGGCCGCCTCCTCCCCCTCCTGCCTTCCCGCACGCGTCAGGCGGGGCCACGCCCGGCGGGGCCGCACGCAGGCCGCGCACGGGCCGAGTAGCGAGCGGCGGCAGGAGGCACTACCAGCATCCATTCTTTTTTTTCTTTTTTTTTACAATTTGTGATTCACTGAGATGTATAATTTTGTAATTTGTTGTATGGATCTGAGATGTATAATATGTGATGTATTTGATTTGTGTGTAATTTTTTTAAAATTTGTGATGTATTTGATTTGTGTGTACAAGTAACTTAAGATTTGTGATGTGAATGTTTTGGGATGTTACTTTGATTTGGGGTTTGATTTGGGAATATGCATCCCACTCGATTTGGGAGAAAATATAGGGATTAAACTCTGGCTAAAAAATAATGAAAAAAAAAGAAAAGGAGACCTAATGGGACTGCCGCTACCCTCTCTTTAGTCCCGGTTGGTGTTACCAACCGGGACTAAAGATCGATCTTTAGTCCCGGTTATTTCACCCAGGACTAAAGATAGCGATTTTTAGTCCCGGATTCGTAGTCCCGGTTGGATAACCGGGACTAAAGGGGGGTTATGAACCGGGAGTACAAAGGGTTTCTCCACCAGTGTGACCTAATATATAAGTGGTGGGTGGCCCTCACCTCATTGGCTATCTTTAGGTGTGGAAAAAACCCTTTAACATCCTACAATTTGTATCAGAGTCAAGCTAGTTCAACATCTCTAGTCCGATGGACAAGAGTGTCAAGGCCTGATAGACCGTGGGTGCTTGCAGGGCTCGTATACCAGAAGGACCATTGGTGTATGGTGAAGGAGGTGAACGGCTGAGAGACACCAATGTGTAAAGGGGAAGATTGTTGAATAGTCCCACATAGGGTATCTCTCGCCTCATTGGTAGCTTTTAGGGTGGGAAAAACCCATTATGATCCTGTACGTCCACTCGCGGTCCGACCGTTAGCCTAAAAATAGCTTGATAAAGCTTGTATAAGAAAAAGATGTTTTCTTCAAAACCAACCGTTGAATCGAGCTCAAATCTTTACAAATAAACTAGACAAACTAAGGAACAAGTTCGCCGCATGGATTAGCAAACTAATAAACGGTTTAAGAGAAAACACTCTCAAGCCAATCGTCTCAGAAATTTCAGCAAATCTAAACAAAACATAAAACGTAAGCAAATTCAAATCTAGCAAGAACCAATAAACGAAACCACCAATCGTCGGTCTGGTCGTTGGAATTTAGAAAAACACGTCTCGATGAAACAGATGTGTTTACAAAGTGCATCTAAAGCACTCATCTCTTAACTCATGAACTAGAATCAAAGCCTCAAAGCAAACCCTAATTTTTCTTTCCCCAAAATCAATGTATCGGCTACTAACCTTTACAGGTACTTTGGACCCAAGATGAAGTTACTTTGGAAGCTACCAATCCCCCTAAACAAACACATTTCCTGTGGTTAGCTATAAGAGATAGGATTCAAACCACAAAACATCTAAAACAAAAAAAAAACTGGGAGGGATGTGAGTTTTGTGAGCTCTGAGCCACTCAAAATGCACATGTTATTTTAGCTGCCCTATGGCATATTTTGTTTGGTGTTTTGCTAGAGACAGTTTTGGTTGGGATTTTGTTCCACCATCTTTTTATCATTTTTTTCTGTATTGATGAAAGTTGATGATAGCTCTAATAATAGTTTGAGATATATTGATGTTTCTGGCGGCGGTAATCTGGTAGCTATGGCTGACCAGAAACGATATGATCTTTAGAGATAAGTTGTTTGGCACGCCTCTAACTATAATCTACCGTGTGATCTCTCTAATGCAACAGTGGAAGATTCTGGGGAGATAAAAGGACGGAGTATTTGACCTCATCGTTGCTTGAGGGGACAAAAGTTTCCACCCGCAAGAAGTGGGATGATTTTTTTTTCTTCAAAAGTTGTTGTCATTTTTATTCCCGCTAGTCTAGTTGTTTAGACCCTTTGAGATGTGTTGTTTATGGTTTTAACATCTTTCCTTCTCTATTTGGCATGCGTACCTTTTATACTGAAACAAAGCTAAAACTATAAAGCTGGTCTCCCCAGCGAACTAATTATTTTTGCTTTCTATAAAAGCAGCGTAATGCCTTCTATCAAAAAAAAAGTTGAAAAGATGATGATGAGAAACAGCATAAACTTTCAACTAGGTGAAGTCAGAAACTTAGAATCAAAATAATGTCAATAATCCTGACACATAGACTTGTTCCGTAAGAGTGTGAATATAGATAAAAAAAACACCCCCTTGTACTCACGACCAATAATGCCATTGGAAACTGTAAGAGATCTCAAACTGTAGATAGCACATGTGGAATGGCTCCATCGAATGAATTTGAGCAGCTTACCGGGCAGAGATGAAGATGACCCAAGGCGACATCCATCTCCAGGCTGCAGGCGCTCTTGATGGTGAGGCAAGTATCGCGGGGCCAGCGACGACTGGAGAATGCGCGTGGATGGCCACGAGGAGCTGCGCCGCACTCACAGCTCTGGTGAGGTCTTGGGGATGAAACGATGGGGACGAGAGTGAAAGTATAATATCGAAGACCGTGTAGAAAACTTGCGTGCTTCATAATTTGGGATGGAGGGAGTATTAACTATGATCTAAAATAGCACACTAGCTCTTGATGGTGAGGCAAGGTGTTGATGCGAAAAACACACACTGGCCTGGGAGATCTGCTTAGCTCCAGTGCAGGTCCAAAGGTTGGTAAGATGCGGGCGTGCCAGTCAGTTTGATCCTGCAACTGATAAGATATACAAACAGCAGATCAATAAGCCGATCGGCTGTCAAGCCGATGGAGCAATTCCAGCCGATGCTGATACCAGCCGATAGCGATAGGGTTTTAAGCTATCGGCTATATGTTTGATGTAGAGTCTTAACACTTGATATAAATAAAGGCGATCGGCTTATAATGATAACTAACAAAAATATAGCAATATAATCCAGTAGAGACCAATCGGCTAATAATATGATATAATAGAACACAAGTATTGATCCGAAGGTCAAAATATACATCGGCTGGAGATCCGATGTCATAAAATCCACAAGATTAGATAGATCAATGAAACATTTGTTGTCATCGGCTAAATCCAACTTATATGTTTATGCAATCCTTATAAGCCAATGCAACATCCAGATAACTTATCAGCTAGCACCCCGATAAAACATTAGCATGAACCTATTGGCTTAACAAGACTTATATTATCAACAACAATCTAGTGGTCGAACCTAACCGATGCAGCACGAGATTGTATATGATAATCTAATACTCGATGAGCCGATAGATCTGTCTAACGTGATGGATATAACAAATCTATTTAGAGCAACATTGTGATTGTAGAGATATATCGGCTAAGATAGAAGATCGGACCTAACCGAGACAGTCCCAACTAAACCGATGTGTCTCTAAACACAATGCAATTAAAGATAGAATTGAGATATCAGGTAGGCAAATATATCAACCAAACCAGAGCGATCCAAGAGATCGAAGCGATGCAGCCTTGAACAACACCAACGTAACCGGTAGATTCACCAGGGCCGGCGGAACGTAGGACTTACCCCTTCGCCGGAGATCGAACTGAATCGATGCAGCCCCGCGTCAGGTGCCAAATTCCGCCGGTTGATAAGTAAAACCTCAGGAATGAGGGTGGCGATGCGCCGAGAGTAGTTGTATTGATCGAGAGATTGATTAGAATGACCCTGGGTATACATATTTATACCCATAGGGAGATACTAGTCCTTGTAAGACAAGAAAGAAACTTTCCTAAAGATAAAAGGAAAACATAAAGTCCTTATTGGACACTAAACACACTTTCCTAAAGATAAAAGGAAACTAACAAACTATTCCTAATTAATAGATAACTTGTCATACCGCATCCTCATTGAACTCGGATTCTTCTGGATAAATTTTCTTTAATTGATCCGACTCCACCAAGAACACAACTGCTGGCGATTTAACGACTCCCATCGGCCGATTCTAAAACTCTAAAACCGATACTGACTCTAGGCCAATGATGACTTCGGGCTTACCAAATTTTGGCGTTAACACAAGGATCCCGGGGCCAGCGACGACTGGAGAACACACGTGGATGCCGACGAGGAGCCGTGCCGCACTCACAGCTCTGGTGAGGTCTTGGCCTCTTGGGGATGAAACGATGGGGATGAGAATGTAAGTATAATATCGAAGACCGTGTAGAAAACATGCGTGCTTCATAATTTAGGATGGATGGAGTATTAATTATGATCTAAAATAGCACACTGATTTGCATTTGCCTCGTCAAATGTTTCTTGATTTTGAATAGAAACAATGTAGTATTAAGTACTCACTCTGTTTCAGATTATATTGACTTTAGTTAAAGTCAAACTGCTTCGAGTTTATCTAAATTTATAGATAAATATAGTAATATTTACATTACCAAAATTAGTTTTATTAAATTAATAATTAAATGTATTTTTATAATAAATTTATCTTAGATCGAATATATTATTATTTTTTTATAAACTTAATCAAACTTAAAACAGTTTGACTTTGACCAAAGTCAAAATATCTTATAACTTGAAACGAAGAGAGTATTAGTTTAATGCTTGTAACCAGTTCAAAGAGGTAATCACAAAGTACATCATGTTTAGTCCAAAGATTTTGCATACAAATTAACTTCTTTACACCATTCATTTACATCCATTTTGGTCAAATGATTACATAATTTAAGTATACTTAAAACAATAAAATGTGTATTTTTTTAAAAAAATATGTATTCCTAAAACAATGGAATGTGCTTTTTAAAATTGATTCGGCTCATATCGATGGGAGAGGTTTAGGCCCTATTTGGGGAGCTTTAGATTCTAAGAAGAAACTGTTTGAGCTTCCGAGAATCTGGAAAAGCTCTGAAACCCAGCTTCTCCAGCTTTTTAGTTCATTTTTCAGAATCCTTTGAAACCCTCTGAAACCCAGCTTCTGAAACCCAGCTTCTCTAGCTTCTGGCTTCTTGGTTTATTTTTCAGAATCTGAAGCTGTGGACTGTTTGGAGCAGCTTCTAGCAGAAGCAGCAGCTTTTGGGAAAAGATGCAGCTGGGAAAAGCTCCCCCAAACAGGGCCTTAGCCTCACATCGCTCAGAGGTTTAGCATTACACCACAAGCATGTCCTTTCATGTCAATTTTGATACCACTTGGGATTCCAAAATACCAACTTCAATAATTTTTCCCTCAAGCTAAATACTACTCCCTCCGTTTCATCCGTTTCAGATTATAAGACTTTCTAGCATTACCCATATTCATATAGATGTTATTGAATCTAGACATTATCTATATGAATATGGGTAATGCTATTATCTATATGAATATAGATAATGCTAGAAAGTCTTACATTGTGAAACGGAGGATAATTGACAAGTTCCAAGTAACATGTCGCGGAAACATCCATCATGCTGTAAATCCTTGTGCAAAATGAACAGGTACAAATAATATCCAAAAGTACGGAACATTCAAGTGAGGTATCATTACAAAAATATTGGACTCGCCGAAGCCACATGCCTTACAAAAACAGATTGAAACAGTGCTTCGTCCTACATATGAATGAGATACATGCCATAGCTCCTAGTCAGCTCCATGTCTTAAAGGTCCACGTATCAAGCATCAAGCCTACAAGAGCAGAACAGCGAAGTTGAAAAAAAAAAGAGTATACATAGAACTTTGAAAAGGCACTATCTGTGCAAGCACAGTACCAGAATAAAGTCTAGTATAACAATTGAACTGAGAATGAATAGTTTTGTACCTTGCTAGCAATGTTGCTGGACAGCCAATCCAGGCCCTCATACAAACCCTCGCCAGTTGTGGCACAAGTGCTCTGGATGTACCTGTCAGAAAGAAGACCAGGTTGAGATCCAGAGTACCATGGGAAAAAGTGAAGCAGTGAGTAACATGAATAATGGCAACATGATGTGTTACAATCGAAACAAAGGATAGAAGGAATTTCCCCTAGTCTATAATCAGTTATCATTGAGCATCACACTATATCTACAGAAAGGACTAAAAAGAAAAGAGCAAGGATCCACCAGTAATTCGTATTTACCAGTGACGCTGACGAAGGGAATGTAATCCAAGCTTATCAGTAATCTCAGCAGCATTCATAGCGTTTGGAAGATCTTGCTTGTTGGCAAACACAAGCAACACAGCATCACGCAACTCATCCTGCCATAAATCCAATTAAATTTCATCAGATAGGGTTGCAGAAAGTTGTTAGCTTATCAATTGGAATATGATATTTTCACAGTTGCTTTGTTAATTATTATGTACATCGATCAAACCAGAGGCATAATTGATCAAATAAGCCATATGGTACAGCGATAGCAAAAAAAAGTGACAGAGAACAATTTACCTCATTCAGCATCCTGTGCAGCTCATCTCTAGCTTCCACAACACGGTCGCGATCATTGCTATCCACAACAAAGATAAGACCCTGTGTGTTCTGGAAGTAATGCCTCCAAAGAGGTCTGATCTGTTTTTGCAAGCATTTACAAAGATCAATCATAAGGTGAGATAACATATGTCAACATTTTAAATATTAAAACAAATCAAGACATAGGACAGCTTAATGTAAACAACATAAATAACTAGGAAACCAGATGCTAATAATGACAAAGATAAATTTAATTGAAGGCATCAAATAAAAATATTGGTCAAAATATGGCTGCAGTTCTTACCTTGTCTTGACCCCCCACATCCCAGACAGTGAAGCTAATGTTCTTGTACTCAACAGTTTCAACATTGAACCCTATAATTCAAAGAAAATCAGTTAGCTTGAAAGATACAAATAAATAAATAGAAAAGGAGATAATACCATAGCACAAGGAGTCAAGAACATAAAAGGATCCAAATGTTGAATAGTTTAAAATTTAAAACCTAAATAGATGCCTAATAAAGTTCACTCCGACAATTTAAGATTCAATCGATATCCTACATGTAAAGTTGAAGTCTTAAATTTCATAAGAAACAGCTCCCAGCGTTATGCAATAGTTCAAATAGCTTTTCAAGTAAAACAAATGACAAGCAGACATCTCTGCCTATCAAGTGTGCTAGTAAAAACTTAGCATTCCCATGGTCATGGAATAGGACATTTCGTCTTTCCATCCAATTAGGAAATTTGACGTCAATACAGCCAAGAAAACCTAGCGACAACAACTCTGCAGAACTAAAGTCCATTCTGGAAATGAACTCTAACAGCACGCAACAAGGCTAAAGAAATTGGCATATACAATGTACAGAAAGTCAGAAATGGAAATTTGATGTTTATACAACCATGAAAATAGCAGCACGAACTAAATTACATTCTGGAGGCCTCATCGTTTACCCATTGGCTCATATGCCACTGCAAAAGAATTGAATTTTAAAACATGATTTTGAAGTTGATTTTGACGCTTTTTCAATGTACCTTTTTCCTCAGTAATGGCTTTTAAGTTGCTAAGAACATATAAGTAAATATCTACATACAAATTATTTTCTAATCACTAATAAGACATTACGGCTTATAATAAGTCATAGGCAACGGATGGGGTCCTGGATAGAACACAAACAGCAAGCGGCAAGGCCAAAGAAATTGGCATATTCCTATACTACTTTAAATGATGCTAGTGGTGGCATCCGAGTCCGCCTCCAATGCTACGAGCTGACATGTGGTGTCTAATCAATTAACTCTATGCTATAAACTTGTAATTACATGCCTTTTTCTTTTGGATATAGCATTATATGCCTAATCAATTAACAATGCTACAAACTTGTCATTTTTTGCTTTTGCTTTTGATTTTATTTCTTACAATATCCGTCGCATCGCACGGGCATTTAGCTAGTAATATAACAATGTACATACAGAAAGAGAAACGCATGTGGCTGACCAATGGTGGGGATGGTGGTGACGATCTCGCCGAGCTTGAGCTTGTAGAGGATGGTGGTCTTTCCGGCGGCGTCGAGCCCCACCATCAGGATCCGCATCTCCTTCTTCGCGAACAGCCGGCTGAACAGCTTCCCGAACGCCAACCCCATCTTCCCCCCTCCTCTCTCCTCTTTTTTCACCTGCAAATCCATACGATCCCATCCGTTAAAATCCAAATCCGCCACGAGATCCAACCTCCCTCCCCCCACGCCCTAACGCCTCGAAAACCAGATCAAATCTCGAAACAAATGGCGCCGGATCTTCGCCCCCACGCATCAACCAACGAAATCGAACGCGGAGAAACGGCGGATCCAGTAGAATCATCGGGCGGCGGATGGATCGCCGGAGAAGGGAGGGGCGGGAGAGCTCACCTGATCTGATCTGCGATGGAATTCGGGGGCTGGGGGGTGGAAGCGGATGGATTTGGGGGGGAGGGAAGGGAAGAGAAGGGGTGGTGGAGAGGAGCGGAGAATAATATAAGGATGGTGGGCATGGGATGGAGGGCGTCCGATCTTGGGATGGACGGCTGAGATCGGTCTCCAGGGAAATTTGGTGGCACGCACATGGAGAGCGGAGAGGCAGGAAGCTTCTGAAAACGTGCGAATTTCTCTATACGGACTAAAAAATTTTCTCTCCGTCCAATAAAAAAACAAAATTATTACTGGATACAATGGGATTCTTATTTCACACGCGCTAGACGAGTAACTAGTGTTCGGAAGATCGGTTTTGTAGGACCGTGATCGTGAGGATCACGGTACCTCCTCCTTCTGTTTCCTCGTTAATGTAGTGGGCTTATACCAAATATATATGTATGTATCCATATACGACATCCTATTGTGGGTATAAATACAATAGTGAGGTTGAGGGCAAAGTAATACTTGTAACAGAGAGAGAAACATCGATAAAGTTAATTGCCCTCCACTTTCGAACTTGCCCTCCACTTTCGTGTCCGTGTGTTCGTGTGTGCTTGTTCGATTGTTGACAACGTGAATTCTAACACGTTATCAGCATGAGGTGCTCTTCAGACAAGGTATATTGTCAACATCGATATGTTCTAATCTCGTTCTATAGGGATAATGATAAACTTACTAGATCGTTTTCTATTATTTTTTTTCTCCGCTAATCGTTCGATCGATGGGTTGTACTACGTGGATTTGTCCCTTATGGCGCACGTAGCAGGAGAGTTTGCGGCTCTCCACCCCATGCACGACAGGCGTATGGGGTTATCCCTTATACAACCGATCTATCGAATGAGAAGCAGTTATCGCTATAGTCCGATTAGATCTGTTCCCAGCCTTTGCGCTGGGTTTCTTTTCTTGCAAACAAAGACACGTATATCGTACGCCCTAGATGCGCGAACGGATCAGACAAGCCGCTGCAAGAACGACGGTTTAGAACTAGTGATACCTCGAAGGGCGACGCTACGTTCAGGGTGTAATCGCGATGCACATGAGAAGAATCGTGTACCTGGCTAACATGATCACCGATTCCGAACGAGTCGGCCCAAATCCTCATGCTAGTGCCGCCGTCGTCCTGAAGTTGACGACGACGAAACCGAGTCAATGACGCCAGCATGCGCCGTCGTGCCCTTGCCGCCGCCAACACGCGTTGCCGGTCACCCCCTTCACCGATGGCCGCAGAATCGTGCCATCGGCTTTCCATCGTCGGTTCGCCCTTGAAAAGCCAGCCGACGGGTCTTCAATCGACCGCCTGCACTCGCCGTTGACGGCCGCCGCCCGCAGAGACGCTGAGGAGACCGCGTCCGCATCCCCCGCCGCCGGCACGCACGGCACACCTCCCGCGCTACCGCACGCGACTGGGATGGGGGTCGAAGCCGCCGTGGCCTCCCGCTGCCGATAGCTCTCCGCCTCGCCAGCCCGCATGCCGAACCAAACTCCACCGGCGCACAGCAAGGAGCTGCGCTAGCCGAACGCCGGATATGCCCGTAGCCAACCACGCCGGCGTCGGTGCTGCTTGTAGCCTCACCGCCGCTCCGCCTCTATCGTCGACCCCGCCGCGCTGACGAGCTCCGTCGACCCCGCCGTGACGACGAGCCACCGCCGCCTCGCTCGCATGAGTCACCGGGAAATCCGCCGCCGCCGCCGAATTGGGGATTTTGGGGCTAGGGATTCAACCCTAGCCATCCGAATCGGATAAGGTGTGGCTCCCCTTTGTTGGGCTGCACCGTGGGCCAAGGCCATTAGCAGGCCAACGGCCCTGACGGGCCGGCTACTAATTCCTTGAATGGCCGGTTCATGGAGGTGGGCCGAAAAAGATTTTGGCCTATAAAAGGAGTCGGGCTCGAATCGAAATTTGCCCCGAAAAACGGCAAACTTCCGAATATTTTCTGATTTCATGCGGATTTGGAATTTTAGCGGAATAATCCCTCGGGATTATAGAAATTACGGGGAACACTATAATTTTGGTTATTCTGCATTATTTTATGCCGAAACAGAGAAGATGTTTAATGCTTTTTCTTTGTCTTAGCCCTCGATTTTCTATGTATTAAGTGTTCATTAGTTAATTTTTGAATCAACCATAGAATCCTAGAGACATGGTTTTTAGGAAATGAGCTCTCATAATTTGAAATTTAGTACACACCAGAGAGCATCATATTTATGGTTTATTTTCCAAGCTGTTTTATTTTTTCAGGATACTATTTAATGGGTTAGTAATTCAGTAATTACTTTGGTACCTAAATAAATAATAGTACAGCAATTCTGAGAAATGTTGGGAGAATTATGGGAATATATTGACACAGTACTAAATTTAGATAACCAGACAATTTACTATTTGCACACTTGTCATGCTCTTACTTGCAGTACTTATTGAATTTTGCATGACTAATGTAGGAAAATGACTGATATTGCTAAGAGAGATTTTGCTGAACTAGCAGTCAGCGGCAAGAATTACCTGACATGGGCACTAGATGCCAAAATCATGCTTGGTGCTAAGAAACTCCTGAACTGCATTCAGGACCCAACTATTGCAACATCAGCTGGAGGAGTTAATAATTTACCAACTTCAGCCGAGAAAAATCAGGCACTGCATTACCTGAGGCACCATTTGAATACTACTCTCAAGAATGAGTATATGACTGAGGAAGATCCGAAGGTCCTTTGGGACTCACTGAAGGATCGCTATGGCCATCAAGTAAAGGCTTTGCTCCCAAAAGCAAAACGTGAGTGGCTTCACTTACGTTTCCAAGATTACAAATCTATGGAGCAATATAACTCAGTTCTTCACCGCATTGTCACTTGTCTTAAGCTATGTGGAGAGAAAATCACTGATGCTGACATGATAGACAAAACTTTGTCCACCTTCCATGCCAATCATGTGAATATTCAGAGGCAATACCACCAGGCTAAATACGAGAAGTATTCTGAACTGGTCTCCGTGCTCATGGAAGCGCAAGGAGAAGATGAGACACTTGTTGAAAATCATACGTCTCGCCCCACTGGAAGTTCAGCAGCACCCGAAGCAAATGCTAGCTCCTTTAAGAAGGGGAAAAACCAGAATAACCAGAACAAAGGGAAGAATTTCTGGAAAAATGGTGGCAAAGTTAACAAGACATCTTTCAAGAAGAAAGGAAATCAGAACAGTAAGTCTAAGAAGGGCTCTACTAGTGGTGAATATGGAAAGCAAGATCAGGTATGCTTCAAGTGTGGCACTAGGGGACATTGGTCTCGCATTTGCCGCACCCCTAAGCATCTCATTGAGCTTTATCAATAGAAGCACGGGAAGAAGAAGTCAGAGCATGAGTCACACTTCACTGTTGAGATCTAGAACTCAGAGGAGAAGATGGCTGCCATGCATATCGACAAGAAGGTCGACGAGAAGGCAGTGGTTGCAATGCACATCGATGATAAGATGGAACATAATGCAGCAGACACAGAGCTGAAGCTCTCAGATGATCTCATGGACTCTGATCAGTTATATGGGGACATTTAAGTCTTCCAATTTGTATCTTAGCTTCCTGCATTACAAGTTACTTTAAATTTTAGACTATGTAATAGACTAAAGTTAGGTGATTTTTCAAGTGTGCATTTAGTTTGTGTTCCTAGCAGAACTATAGTTTCTGTAAGCTCCTTCAGAGCATGGTTATCTTAATAATTTAGTTAACTCTTTTAGTTTAATATATTCTCCAGATTTTTATTTTTCTATCTTAAAGTGTTATTTTTACTATATGGTCATGAATTGATTATATTTAAATGCTTTATGATAGAACAGTGTTACGTACTATGGCAATGGAAGAGGAGATGTGTCTAGTAGACTGCTGTACCACCAATACTATCTTTCGAGATACCACGTATTTCCAGACTTTAAAGAAAAAGACTGGTCAAATCGCTACCATTACCGGAAGCAATGCACACATCGTCGGAGTGGGACGAGCAACAGTAGTTCTCCCACATGGTACCAAGATCATTATAAATGATGCTCTATTATATCCAGAGTCCAGTCGTACTCTACTAAGCTTTAAAGATATCCGTGCTAATGGTTATCATGTAGAAACCAAAGATGAGAATAAACTCGAATTTCTTCTCATAACGAAATTAGACGGAAATCGTAATACTGTTGTTGAAAAACTCCATTCCTTGAAATCTGGCCTGTACTACACTCATATAAAACCCGAAAATGTTGCACTGAAAACAATATTTAAAAATCCTGAGTCATACAGAATATGGTATGACAGGTTAGGACATCTAGGTCTAGGGATGATGAGAAGAATCATCTCAACTTCAAATGGCCATAATTTACGAAGTAACGATTTCCCAAACCAAGAAGATTTTGTTTGCACTGATTGTGCAACAGGGAAATTAATCGTTAGACCCTCTAATTTAAAGGTGAATGCCGAATCACCAGTATTCTTGCAACGAATACAAGGAGACATATGTGGACCAATTAATCCAATGTCCGGATCATTCTAGTATTTTATGGTATTAATTGATGCATCAACTCGATGGAGCATTGTTTGTTTACTTTCTACAAGAAACCACGCTTTTGCGCGGCTTATTTCCCAAATAATCCAGTTGAGAGCCAGTTTCCCGGATAACCGGATACAATCCATTAGAATGGACAATGCCGGGGAGTTTACCTCTAAGGTATTTAATGAATATTGCATGGCTTTGGGAATTAAAGTGGAACATTCTGTACCACACGTCCACACTTAGAATGGTCTCGCCGAATCATTAATTAAGAGGATTAAGCTTATCGCACCTACCAACTACATGTTGGGGACACGCTGTTTTGCATGCAGCGGCGTTATTTCAAATCAGACCTACTGCATAAATGCTGTATCCCCTATGCAGCTTACACGTGGATATGCACCAAATATTTCCCATCTGCGCAAATTTGGATGTGCTGCATACGTCCCTATACCGCCACCTAAGCGTACGTCAATGGGTCCTCATAGAAAATTGGGAATCTATGTAGGATTTGAATCTCCGTCTATCATTAAATTTTTAGAACCATTGACAGGAGACCTACATATGGGTCGATACGCTGATTGTATATTTAATGAAGATCATTTCCCGGCATTAGGGGGAGGAAAGTACCTACAGAAGGTCGAATGCCGCGAAATTGAGTGGGAAACTAAAAATCTCCTACATTTAGATCCACGTACTAAGGAATCTGACCAGGAAGTTCAGACCATAATTGATTTGCAAAGAATTGCAAATAATCTGCCAGAAGCCTTCACTAACCCAAAGGGGATCATGAAATCTCATATACCTGCTGTGAATGCACCGGAAAGAGTAGAAATACCTCATGACGCAGAGGAACCGGTTTTCAAATTAATTTCTACATCTACCCCAACTTTTAGGAAGAGGGGGAGACCACCAGTTGCACACAACCAAACTAAAGTTTCTAGGAGACGTCCTTCGAAACAAAAGATTGGACAGAATACCACAGCACTAGAGAATAGTGAAGGAGCTCACCAGGTAGATGAGCCACCTACAGTGATATGCCCGGATGGCAATGAACCCAATGAGAATGCGCGCACAATTGCGGGAAACAATGAAGATCAGGAATGTGAAAGAATAGAGGAAATATCCACCAATTATGTGGATACAAGTGAAACATACAATAGAGAGACTACTATTGTTGACATATACTTTGCCGGAAAGATCGCTAAGATCATTGATCTGGATCCAGAACCAAAGTCCATGGCAGAATGCAAAAAGCGTTCAGACTGGGTCAAATGGAAAGAAGCAATAAAGGCAGAGTTAATCTCGCTTAATAAAAGAAAAGTATTCGGTCCTGTTGATCGTACCCCCATAGGGATATCCCCTGTAGGATATAAATGGGTGTTCGTCCGAAAACGGGATGAGAACAACCAGGTGGTTCGGTATAAAGCGAGAATAGTAGCACAAGGGTTTACTCAGAGACCTGGCATCGATTTCGATGAAACCTATTCACCTGTAATGGATGGAATTACATTCCGGTTTTTAATATCTATGGCAGTCAATTTGAACTTAGAAATGCAGTTGATGGATGTAGTGACCGCATATTTATATGGGTCATTGGATTCTGAAATCTATATGAAAGTTCCCGACGGGATTCAAGTTCCTGAAGAAACAAAACGCAACATATATAGTGTTAAATTGCAACGATCATTGTATGGGTTAAAACAATCCGGTAGGATGTGGTACAACCGGCTCAGTGAATTCCTAGAAGGAAAAGGATTCATCAAGAATGATGACTGTCCCTGTGTGTTTATCAAAAAAATCAGAACATGGATTTTGTATTATTTCTGTATATGTGGATGATCTGAATATCATCGGGACCACACAGGTGATTAAGGAAGCTAGTTCTTACCTAAAGACGGAGTTCGAGATGAAAGAATTAGGTAAGACTAAATATTGCTTAGGTCTGCAGCTTGAGCACACTCCTGAAGGGGTATTGTTACACCAGTCTGCATATATCCAGAAGATATTGGAGAAATTTAATATGAAGGATTCATATCCGACGAGAACCCCCATGGTAGTAAGATCTCTAGCAGTAGAGAGTGACCCATTTAGACCACAGGAAAATAACGAGGAATTATTGGGACCTGAATGTCCATATTTAAGCGCCATTGGAGCTTTAATGTATCTCGCGAATGGTACCAGGCCTGATATTGCATTTGCTGTTAACCTACTTGCAAGGTTCAGTTCAGCTCCTACCAAACGGCATTGGAATGGTGTTAAGCAAATCTTCCGTTATTTACGTGGCACACAATATCTCGGTTTATTCTTTAGAAAAAATCAAGATTTAACCATGGTGGGATATGCTAATGTTGGATATCTGTCAGACCCCCATAAAGCATTGTCACAGACTGGGTATATGTTTCTCTGTGGTGGTACAGCCATCTCATGGAAGTCGACGAAGTAGACGATGGTCGCGACATCAACAAATCACTCGGAGATTATAGCATTATTTGAAGCGAGCAAGGAATGCATGTGGTTGAGGAGGGTGATACAACATGTACAGAATACATGTGGGCTGAATATCACACCAACTCCAACCATTATTTATGAAGATAATTCAGCTTGTGTTGCACAAATACAAACGGGTTATGTGAAGACGAGTCTCACTAAACATATATCACCTAAATTCTTCTATATGCATGAATTGCAAAAGAAAGAAGAAATCAAGGTGACTCTCACCAAGACTAGTGAAAATCTTGCAGATTTATTTACTAAGTCTTTGCCAACTAGTGTTTTTGAGAAGCTTGTGCATGGCATCGGTATGAGAAGGATGAGAGATGTGCCCAAATCAGGGGGAGCACTTCCCTGACTGTATTCCGTTGATATTGATCATGCAGATCAGTACATCATTCTTGAAGAATGATAGAGTTATCCAGTAGATTAGCTTATGGTTGTACTCTTTTTCCCTTAAGTGAGATTTCTTTGAAGTTTCTCACATTTAGGTTTTTAATGAGGCAACAGTGCAATATAAGTAGCATGTACTATGTACTCTTTCTCCTATTCCTTTTCTCCCACTGGGTTTTTGGAAGGAGTTTTGATGAGGCATATATATAACGCGGTATTCGCCCAAATGGGAGTGTTATGAAACCGATCTCCCGAAGGAGTCGGATTTGTAGGACCGTGATCGTGAGGATCACGGTACCTCCTCCTCCTTCTTCTGTTTCCTTATGAATAAAGTGGGCTTATACCAAATATATATGTATGTATCCATATATGACATCCTATTGTGGGTATAAAAACAATAGTGAGGTTGAGGGTAAAGTAATACTTGTAACAGAGAGAGAAACATCAATAAAGTTAATTGCCCTCCACTTTCGTGTCCGTGTGTTCGTGTGTGCTTGTTCGATTGTTGACAACGTGAATTCTAACAACTAGCACAAGCGCCCCCCCACCCCCCAGGCCACTAATGCGCACCCCTAGTCCACTGTTCACTGATGTTTCTATATATACGTATAAACTTTATATATATTTATATAAATTTTATATGTATGTATATAAAGTTTATATATATGTATGTAAAATGTTATATAAAGTGGTTTTTTAAATCATAAACACTTTATTAAAAAATAAGAGTTTAGATAAATAATCCTAGGACATCGTCGAATAAATCAGTTTAAAGCATTAGAATCAAAAGAACAGCTAACAAAACTAACGAAACAAACCTCACAATGAAACCAAACAAACAGTAGATGAGCAAATTGACAGGGGATCTGCGGCGTTGCCACAGAGTTACATCCTTGGCCTCCTTTTGACATGCACTCCGCTTGACAAATCGATGACCACCTTCTGCTGCCACCATAGGAACAAACATAGCTTTGCTGATGAACAGTAGATTTTCGTGTGAGCTTCACTAGACTCAGCAAAAGCATATCCATGGAGTTTGCCATTGAATATGAGGATCTCAGCCTGCAATCCTGCCAACCAAAGTTACACATTTGATTCATACTCAACCCGAACGATAAACCCTCTATGGTTACTGCTGCTAGGAGACAAATAGGGCTATGATTTCCAATAGTGAACTCCAAAATGAAACAAGCCCGACACTACATAATGGCATGAGAAGAGAAGAAATTGAAGAAACTCTAACATAACCTACTTAGGGGTGGGCAAAATAAGACCGAACCGAAAATCCCGAGACTGAGAAATTCAGTCAGTAGTTAGGTCTCAACCAATGAAAGACTGAAATTTATTCGGTCAATTTTGTTAGTGACCTCGGTTAAACGAATTGATCGATATAACCGAATTTTGATATGTGATGTAATGCATGTCATGTGAAATTGAGAACTAAGTGCATGATGCTTTTGGTTTATTCTTGCTACTTGATCCTATCTTTTGATATTTGTTTGGTGTTTGGTGTTGCCTATTATCTTGTATTTTTGTGATATATAACTGTCAAAAGTTGTCTAAAAGAGGTTCAGTGCTGTCAAAATTTATCATTGCAAATTTTATCTCCTGGAACTGGCACAGTTCGGTTAGGACTAAGACTGACAATTTTGCGTTGTTATTTTTCTTCACTTTTTAATGACCGAACTGACAACTTTGCATTGTTATTTGGACTTCACTTTTTTATGACCGACCGTGACCAAAATTTTCGATCGAACTGAATACTCACCCTAAACCTACTGACGAACTATGCCCAACCCGAAAACCTAATCTAGTGAGGAAGGTGTTGGCAACTTTTTTGACAAGTCGACAAGCACGATCGCAGCACCTAAACGCTTTGCGGTGATATGGAGTCGCCAACCACCTCGATCTAGCCAAAAGGCCAAATCAAGATGGGTTTTTGTAGAAAATAGCTAAACCGGCTATCGGAGCCGATTTAGAGATCAAAATCAGCCTCTAGGCCGATTTAGATCGATATGAGGATAACCACCCGTCTCGTGGGAAAACAGAAGGTTTTCAGGACAAGCCTACAAAGAGGTGTCACACTCTCGCAGCGGTGGCGGACGTTTTACGACGCAAACCGACAAAGATGGACTAAAACTAGGGTAAAGTAGAAAACATGGCTGAAAAGTAATGATAAAAGAAAAGGCGATTCAAGTAGATTGTATGTTTGGGGTATTACAATTGAACCGGTCTTGTCTCTTAAATAGGGGTTAGTCTCTCTCTACATGCCTTTCTCCATGTCCAACTCAGGATAGAAACCAAAAGAAAACTCGGAACATGCCTTCCCAAGCAAGGAAACCCGAGACCCAATAAAAACAGACTCGGAGCAGACCCAAAGAAACCCAAAACATGCCTTTCCAAGCAGACCCAACGAAAACAGACTCAGACTCGGACCCTAACGGTCAGACCGGCCACATACCTGCGGTCAGACCGGCCACATACAAGCCTCCGTCTCAGTAACCTTACTACTTTGCTCTTGTTTATCTTTGTTTATCTGTGTAGATGTTTGCTTAAGGCCAAAGGGTGTAACTTGCAGGGAAGTTAAAAGGTCCAGACGATTTAGGAGAGGTTACATTCGGTTAAATTTCATTATACGAGAGTACGAGACAATCGCCAAACAGAATATATCTTAATGGCTACACATAAATTGAGCCTTACATGCAAAGATCCTCACGGGAACACACGCTCATCATTCTAAGATAACAAAAAAAAAATGACTAATGCTTGTATAAGCATACGCATGCATAGTCCTCAGCACCATGTCTCAGGCACACAGACAAAGGCCACAAAAGAGAAACAGAACAACTGTTTTCGTCGATTCCAGGATCCAGAGAATGCAGTACGTATTAGGAAAGAATTGAACTGCTAAACATGAGGCATTCATCAAATCCTATGAGCAGCAATATATGTTTTGTAGCAAAAAGCTGGTAGAATGTGTAGTAAGGTATTGGACAGGTTCATCACAACATGCCCACGGGAACATCATACTGCAAATCCTTGTGCAAAACGACCACAGGTTGGGGTAGGTACAAATAATACGGAGAAGATAACGATGGAGTGAGGTATCATTACAAAAATATTGGGCTTGCCGAAGACACCTAACAAGATTGAAACAGTGTTCGTCCTACGTATGAATGAGATACATGCATAGCTCCTAGTCAGCTCGAAGTTTTACGGTCGGAGTTCCAAGCCTCAAGCCTGTGCACAACAGCAAAGAAAAGGCCAAACAAGTATATACATTAGAACTTTGAACAGGAAACAATTTTACTAGCCTATTATCGGAATAATCTCCAGAAATGACAGAACTAAAATGATAATGAGGTACCTTGCTAGCAATGTTGCTGGACAGCCAATCCAGGCCCTCGTACAGACCCTCACCAGTTGTGGCACAAGTGCTCTGGATGTACCTGTGAGGAAGAAAACAGATTTAGATCAAGAATATAAAACCATGCGTCGCATTCTAGTTTCTAGATGCAGGATATAATGAATACAAGAGTATCCAAGGGAAAAGTGAGGCAGTGAGTTACATCAATGGTAAAAAAAAACTATGAATCACAATCCAGATGCAGGATACAATGAATTTAAAATAGTATTGTATTCGCTTATTGGAGAGCTTCAAGCTATATCCACAGCAAAAACAATATATAAGGGCAAGAATCCATTGGTGGTCCTTATTTACCAGTGTCGCTGGCGAAGGGAGTGCAGTCCAAGCTTATCAGTGATCTCAGCAGCATTCATAGCATTTGGAAGATCTTGCTTGTTGGCAAACACAAGCAAAACAGCATCACGCAACTCATCCTGCCATAAATTTCAGTTGATCATTATACATGGTTGCAACTTGCAAAAGAGTTTGTCAATTTGTCAACTGATGAAATGCTTGTTTTCTACAACAGTGTCTGCAACAAAGATAATATTTCCCATCCTAAAGAAAATAAATGCATGACAACTAGCAGCTACTCAATGGGATTCTCCTGGATATGAGCCCTTTTCACTTGGCTCTAGTGAAGAAATTTTCCCCAAAAGAAATGTGGAATATAGAATAGCTTTACAGTAAATAAATTAGTAAATCTTATGTACATTGATGCAGTAGTTTCATTTGTCATTATTTTCTGAAGTTCCACAGGATTGAACTAAAGAAGTAAAGGGTTGCTTTGCTAATCAATTCGCATATCATGGATGTTAATACTAGTGGAATAATTCATGAGTTAACTGATACATGGTAGAATTACAGCACCACATAAAAACACAGAAAAAATCGATTTACCTCATTCAGCATCCTGTGGAGCTCATCTCTAGCTTCCACAACACGGTCCCGATCATTGCTATCAACAACAAAGATAAGACCCTGTGTGTTCTGGAAGTAATGCCTCCAAAGAGGTCTGATCTGTTTCAGACGCACAGGCATTAAGTTAGACAACACTCCAGATAGTTTTGAAATTAAAATAGGTCAAGACAAAGGACCAACTGGTCTGAAATTTTCATAGTAATCTGATCGATTAATTTATTTATTTTTAAATAGATCACTAGGAAACTACATGCCAACAGTAAAAAAAAGTGGTAATATAGCATCAAACAGATTATAACAATCAATAATGTAGGATCAAAATATTACAGCATACCTTGTCCTGACCCCCGACATCCCAAACAGTGAAGCTAATGTTCTTGTACTCAACAGTTTCAACGTTGAACCCTGTATGGCAAAGGTAACTATTAAATCAGAAAGATCAAAGATACAGAAATAGAAATGGAAACGTTAAGATTGTACCATCAATTAAGTACAGAAGGGAGAGGGAGATCACACTTAATGCCTACCGACTATTCGTTGTCCAAATTTTGTTGCCTAAATTAAGCTGACAACCAATAAAGGCACTCCATCAATTAAAGATGATATTGGACACGGAATGCTGACTCTTAATTTTACATAGATGACAGAAGTCACAATATTATGCTTTTCTTCCACGCAATTATTCAACCCAGGTTTTCAGGTATGGAAGAAAATATAACATATCTATGCATGAAAGCCTAATTTTGAAGTGTACAAGAAATGTTAATTATGCCTCCCCAAACAAAAGTTCATAACATGGTTCAGAAATGGGGGCACCAGGAGACCCGATAGCAATCTTTTTGGGGGGCATCCAAGAACAGAGATGATCAGCATCACTAAGAAAAATGGTTGAGAATGTAATCGACGTAATATGTGATTTAGCTTTTCAGCATGGACTTGGTGGGTACTCAGGTCTCAGGCGGCAACTCTGAAATTCAGCACCATTGGTATTGGAATTGTCAGGACATCCAAATCAATTAAGCACTTATAAACGTTTATCATCACGTTATATATCTGGATCAAATAATGTATACATGGAAAATGCAGTAGGAAATGCATCATTCCATATCCAATTAGGGAATGTGGTCGGCAACACACGAAGCTAAATTCTAGGAAATAAGTATAACATAATATAAAAAGAAACGCATGTGGCTGACCAATGGTGGGGATGGTGGTGACGATCTCGCCGAGCTTGAGCTTGTAGAGGATGGTGGTCTTTCCGGCGGCGTCGAGACCGACCATCAGGATCCGCATCTCCTTCTTCGCGAACAGCCGGCTGAACAGCTTCCCGAACGCCAACCCCATCTTTCCCCCCTCCTCTTTTTCACCTGCAAATCCATACGATCTCATCCGTTAAATACAAATCCGCACGAGATCCAACCTCCCTCCCCACCGAAACCCACCCAATGATCCCCCCCACGCCCTAACGGCTCGAAACCCAGATCAAATCTCGAACAAATGGCACCGGATCTTCGCCCCCACACATCAGCGATCGAAATCTAGAGAAGCGAGAAACGGCGGATCCAGTAGAATCATCGGGTGACGGACACGAACAGCGGGGCGGCGGATGGATCGCCGGGAAGGGAGAGGCAGGAGGGGGGAGCTTACCTGATCGGATCTGATCTGATCTGATCTGCGGGAGAGGGAGGGAGAGGCGGGGTGGGATTTCCGATGGAAAATTTCGGGGGTGGGAATGGGGGTGAAGCGGTGACCGTGGAAAATAATAGGCAGCGCCAGCGACGCGGTTCGGGGTGGGACGCGTGGGAGCGGAGGGGGAATTTTGGACTTTATGCCATCATCCCGGATGGCATGTTCTCAAATGCCAGCCTTCCAAATAACTTGGCATTAACTTGGCATGTTCGCGCCCAACTTCCCTTCGGCGGCGGTAGCCGTGGGCCTCCCTCCCCTCCAGCGGCAGCGGCATTACGTAATCTCTCCGGCGATGGCAGCGGCCGTGAGCCTCCCTCCCCTTCAGCGGTAGCGGCCCCGCGCCCTGCTCCTCTCTAGCGGCATCCTTGCACCTCCCACCCTGCGACAGCAGCGGCCCTGCTCCCCCTTTGTCCCGATGCCGCTCCATCCGCCTCCTCCTCGGATCCCGCCATTGGTTCATCGTCGTTTCGTCGGAACTCAGAAAGAAGAGGAGCGCCAATGCCTCGGGCTCCTGTCGTCGCAGCCCATCTTCCATGGCTGCTCCTCATCTTTTGTCTCCTTGACTAGACTGAGTATGCAAGAGGAAGAAGATGAGGGTAGGGTGGATCCGAGTGGCAAATAATCTAAGTTTTTTTTGAGAGAGTGGTATTTGAGAACACGACATCCAAGAGGATGGCATAAGATCAAAAGTCCCAGCGGAGGGAGGGCGCGGCGATCTCGGATGGACGGCTCAAATTCAAGATGGACCGACCGAGCGACCGAAAAAATATTTGTGCATTGACGATTTGTCAATGAAAACCGGTCAATTGGTCCATGACAGTCATGACGGAGAAACTTGTATAAATTTTGCTAAAAGTTAAAAATTATCAAGCAATTTCTAGATGAGGACGACCAAGATAAGACTGATGGTTATGATAGAGCGGTTTTTATCGTATTTGTAAACATGTCCAGTAGAGTATTGAGGAATTCCATCATATGGACCTCTATTCTTAGCCTATCGCAGCTTAAAAGTACAAGCATAGTGAGCTTTTTATTTGGTTCTTGATCCACAATTTGAGATTGTGTCGTCTTATAAAATTATATAAAAAAACATAACTCACTTGTCTCCTAGTTGTAGCAACTAGAGAGAGGTATATATGAAAAACAACACAACCATCAAATGCAAGAGAGAAGCAAACACAAGAGATCGGTGGTTAACACATGGTTCTCTTTAAGTTAGCAATTAGAGACATGCATGGATCAACTCCAAACTTGGTGAGCTCGTTCTATACTTAGGCTGTGTTTGAGGAGAAGGAAATAGAGAAGATTGGGAAAATACGCAAAACGAGGTGAGCCATTAGCGCATGATTAATTAAGTATTAACTATTTTAAACTTTAAAAATGGATTAATATGATTTTTTAAAGCAACTTTCCTATATAAAATTTTTGCGAAAAACGCACCGTTTAGTAATTTGAAAAGCGTGCGCGCGAAAAACGAGGGACAATCCCCCCTATCTCCCCTGAAAGAACGCAGCCTTAGAGTATTTCGATTTGGTTGGTTGGTTTGAGGGAATAGTGAATGAGTAGAGCACTAGATTTGGGAATGATTTTATTGGCCGAATGTTTGCACTTTTAGCTTTAAGGATTTTGTGTAGAAATGTAGAATGTTAGTTCACCTGGGCTGGTATTTTTTAGCAACATGGAAGGTACTCATTGACCTTCAGTTCTATCAAGTTTTGTGATGGTTGCTTATCTTGTTTGTGAGATAAAATTAATAACCTAGTAGACTAATATTGTTATTTCTCTTATTGGTAGTACATGAACTCAAAAATAAACTCAAGAAATCTCAGCTTCATGTGGTTATTATCAACTTATATAAAATGATCACAATGCAATTGTATACTATATAAAAAGGCAATCCAAAATCCATATAAACATCCACAACGGTGAGTTACGTTGATTCATTGAACAGAGAGGAAGCCATATGGTCAAAAAGCTAGAGTCGACTCTTGGGCTAAAGCAGTGTTGGTCCCACATAAAAAAACTCCTTCCCCAAATAAAAAGTTACGCACAATTCATCTCTTCATGATACGATAATTGCGGCAAGCTTTCAACATGTAGGACTGATATATTTTTTATTCTCTAGAGTCGACTCTTAAATGTGAATCAATTATTTTCTCTCCTCGATACAAGTTGGCTTCTTCAGTGATGATGAGTCACTTTGAGCCTACCACGTCGGTTTATGCATCGATCACAAAATAGTTAGAGATGCTCTAACTACTGCTTGTAACATCTAAGGCAGAAAATTATGCGTGAATGGTCTAAATATTTATATTTCATGGACTAGTATATAGAGGAGTCAACTTGGATTGAAAATATTCACAAAAAGGTACCTGCAAAACCTTCCGGTGCAGATCACAAATCAAGCCTGACTTTGTTTCTTTCAATCTACTTATCAAGTACATCTCTAAAAGCATTCGAGGGAGTATCCAACACAACTTGACAAACCCTGTAAGTTGTCTTGCAATTTTGTTTCATGACGTGACTTTTGTCTCACTTGCATCAATGTTACCAATTTCGTTGAGCAAGCTTGTTGTTATCACATTCTAAGTTGTCACTTGGTAGACCAGACTCATCTTCACCCAATGTTTTTTTTACCTAGAGAGGGCAAACCCTCCCATTTCTATTAAGAGAAATTCATAAACAGAAGAGTTTCCTGACTAAGCACCTAATTTTAGCACAACCCCTCCTGCCTGATGCCATCCAATCAGTTTTACAGGAGTTGCCTCCCTAGTACATGCATCAAGTAAAATTGTTCCTTATAACATTAGATGGAGTATTTACACAAGCTATAGAGACAACAGTACCTGTTCTATTAGAGAGTATACCTAAGTAGCATTGAATCTACAAAAAGATGGCAAACCACGTAGTGCCACGATCTGTAACTCCAGATTCCTTTTAGCAATCTGCATAACAGTAACTGATTAACTGACAAGATGTTGGTGCTTCCATTTCGTCAAATGCAAATGCGACTCTCCACTGCTTCCATTTGAGTTCTCAGATATGGACTCAGCACTTGTCGTAGCTAGCTCGGAGATTTTATATCACTTCTTTGCCAGACCACCAGTGCCCATGACTTCTGTTGAGGAACACAGTGCTAGGGCTTGAACTTGATTACTTCTCTAGATATCCTCAATTCCTCATAATGTTAGGGCTTGAATTTGATCACTTCTCTAGCTATCCTCATGCAGATCACAGAGAGAATGGCCGTCAATCATGCCGGGAAAAACAACTGCTCATCATGGCTCAATCATACCGAGCAAAATGGGTGCCCATTGTCGCATTAGGAGACTACTAATATTGTGTTCTTCTTAATGGAACATAATGCTAAAATTTTTGTCATATTTGCCTCATGTTCCTGATTGCGATGCCCGTAGAGTGGCCAGGTTTGCAAGTTCTGAAATTTCATCAAATTTCCTTTCTCTCATCAATTCTTTGTCGAAAATAGCATCAGATAGCACCACTGCAGATGCCCCTGCCTCCAAATACCCCTTGATTGAGTCTACAATAAGCAATTTTGCAACAGATTGAGCGGCTTCATAGAGCTAGTATGTGTGCCTACTGTTTTTGTTTAAGCACTTCTTTCTAAAAATGGATGGGTGATAAAACTTTTGTTTGTGGCTAGCTTAAGATCCTTAGGTATTCTGAAAAGAACATTTGTATGCGTTCTTAGCTATAAAATCTGAGATATTTAACAGAAACATGGAGACATTTATGGAACTTTATTATAACTATGGATTAGCAGGTAACTTACCTATGCTTATTCCTTGAGAAGCGACCATTGGTAGAAAAGGAAATGGTTTCTTCAAAGCAAGCATATAGACCTCCCCACCCATTACTGAAACTGGGTAGACCTAATTTAATTTTACCACATAAGCCAAGAAATTCCAATTAGTCCTATAAATGCAGGCTGAAAACGAGTACATCTAACTAATTAATCGGGAATCAAAAGGGCAAAACAAAGTAACGCACATGGGAAGGAAAAAAAAAGATAGAAATTGTCTATTAATTCTTTATTTTTAATGGTATGACCTATCAACCAAAACTATAAAAAGAAAGGCAAAGCTACCTTAACGACTTCTGCTCCAGCATTGGAAGCAGATATAACCTGTAAAAGTCGAATATATCAGACACGTGGAATTAAAATAAGTTCATCGTAATGATATGATCAGGACTCCTCAACATACTTCAGTTGGTGTCAGCACTCCTGGAATACACAGGACTTCACTTTCTTTAAGAGCATGAAGTATTTCCTTACACAAATACAATATGCAAGAATCAATCAGCTTAGATGTATAATGATAATATGCAAGTATTAAGTAGTGTGTCCCACTAAGTACATCAAAGCACAGACTGAAATTGGATCAAACTTGCCAAATTAAATTCATTATGAAGCTATATAAACCATTGACATCATGCAAGGTTGCATCAACAAATTGTAACAGAAGTGTGTAAGAAAGATGTTAAAAGGAACATCACGATATAAATATGGGAAATAGGCACCTCTGCTATTAGAAAAGAAACAATTCTGCAAATGTTCATAATACCTGTGCCACTTACCATGACTGTACCAGGACTCATGAGAAACTGTGCACCAGCTGTAATGGCTTTCCTTGCATCTTCAGGATTCAAGACCGTGCCAACCTAATATAACACCAGGTTCATAAATACTAGATAGTGCCATCAGCGACTAATGTGCTTGACATTAATAAAAATATTACGCATTACATTGTTAGCTCTGGTATAGCAGGATGTGACTACCACCTTCTAGAAACAAATTAATTGAGGAATCACACACTTGCACCACACAGCTTGGTTGGAAGTAAAAATAGTAAAGCGAGCATAGCGGCATACCTTTCATCTCGAAACTAAGTATATCACATCTTTAGTGAAATGTTGAAAATGATCAAAGCAGTTAGTATCAAGGAAACTAAAAAGTAAAATGAATACATGAATTCAGTGGTTCTGACAGACTGAAACAATAGCTAGGCCCACAACCCGTGATGCCATGAGACACCTATGCAGGCAATGAAACAGAAACCTACGAAGTTAATTATGGCAGGGACTAACCCCAAATGTCAAAGAAGGATAACTTCTGCGAAGATCACCAATAACCTGCAACGAGAAGATTTATCAATATGAGAAGATTTATCGGTCTGTTTTAAAATAGCAGGCAGCAATGATCATGGCAGAAGGGCAAGCTTGCAGAAGAATGGTGGAAATGGCACCACCTCCAGCGCTCCAGGGGTGGACATCACAATCTCTAGCTGCAAAACATAACACATGCCTGTCAGAACCAGGGATGAGCAATGAAAAAGCAGTACATTACTGACATTGTCAGGCAAAAGCTTAGATGGATTGATTCTCGCGACCACAAAATCTAAGTGCGGGTCGCACAAGCTCTTGTGCGAATATGCAAGAATCATCCTTTGGAGCCTGAGGGCTCGGGACGTATTGTACTAGGTGCCAGCCAACACAACTCACCACGGAGACGCCGCCGCGCACGGCCGCACGGGCCGCCTGCATCGCCGTCTCCCCGCTGCATGGATGGGAGGATCCACGGCACAAGAGTGGAAACACGACGTCAGACAGGCAGCGAAACCTTTTTTCCCCGGCGAGGCATACCGCCGAACGGGTGACGGGCGGCAGAGGAACCCGGGAAATAGAGAAGAAAAGCCTTTGCTTACTCTTGTGCGCGGAGGCAGGCAATGACGCGCGAGTGGAGTATGGAGCGGAGCGCCTGCGACTCGGGCGTCTTCCGCGATGGCGGCGCGGCCGCTCGCCGGCGACGGCGAGGCAGGGCCGTGCTCGCTGGCGAGTGGGCGGCGGCGGCAACAAGCATTCTCGAGCTCAAGGCTGGAGAGAAGAGGAGTGGATGGGGGGGAGACGAAACGAGAGGAGGATTGGGAGAAGGGGTAAATGGGCCTTGGTGGGCCTAATGGATGGGGTTTGCGCAGAATTTTTAGTGGGCTAATGGGCTGGCAGTACCAACCCTGTTTTTTACGATGGAAAAGTCCACTTTAGGTTCCTCAATTAGGGGTAAGTTTCATTCACGCCCAAAACCGGTTGTAAAGCATCCGCAATTATCAAACCAATACAAATCGAATCCCTTAACGATTTAGACAGTGATTTCGTTCTACGTGACACATTGACCTAGTTTTTATATACATAGTGCTTACATGTAATTATGATCAACGAAAATAAAATACTACCTCCACCCTAAAATATAAGGAGTTTTCAGGTTAGGCATGAGTATTAAGCCCTAAAACATAAGGAGTTTTCAGGTTGGGCATGAGTAAAATTAAATTTGTGAATGTTGTGATTGGTTAAGAAGAGAAATTAGGCGACGAAATTAAGAGTTGGAAGGTTGTGATTGGTTAAGAAGAGAATATGTTGTTATATTTTAGGATAAATGTTGAAGGTTAAAAATTGTTATTTTTTAGAATTGGGGGAGCATATTCTTGGGATTTGATTCCTTATGGGATTGACGTGTGCTTCTTACTCGCTATCTGCTTGTGCATGGAGCACTAATCCGGCAGCACACGAGGGGGAAGGTTGGGAGAAGGAATGAAGGGGCAAAAATGCAACTTCATTCATTTCTTAATTTGTGCTCCCTCAGTCCCATAAGGAATCAAATCCCAAGAATCAAATCTTAGGTACGAACCATACAATTTACTCTCTCAACTTTTTTTTTTTTACTATTTAGCTCCTTCACTCTTAAGATACTAATTCTATTGGACACATGCTTTGTATTTATTAGAATGATTCAAATAATAAGATGATAATAATTGTTTGTTGGTTTTTGGGTTAAGAGTGGTTATTTCATGTATATTAGAATTTTTAGAATGGAAGGAGTATCTAGATTCATCAACAGAATTTTTTTTTTAATGGGATACGTCAATAAAAAAAACCAGAGGGAGTGTTGAGCAATTGCAATGGCACATATCACAAGAACCAATTCCGTGACCGTGAGAAGCTCTTACTCGTCTATCATAGCGCATGGATCATAACAAACCAATTCCCATGTTTCAAGTGTTCATAGCAAAAATGAAACAAGAGAAGACACATGCGAGATGACTAGAAATTCAGAACACAGAGAGCCAGGGAATAGTGCATCTAGATGAGGTTACATCATACCCAAGCAGCAAAGGCCAGCACAAGGTCTATGATATAACTCCGTATGATGTGTTTCGAGCGTTCATGGAAATCATTTCAGCTCGATTCGGTCTAACATAATGAGCTTAGTTGTAACTTTGGTTGGTAAACCTTTTCATGTCAAGAAATCAAGTAGACAGACAGACATTCAGACAACTAGATAGAGCAGACATAGGTTGAGCATCACATAAACGCACATCATTTTGATGGGTCTTTTGGGGTGGAGTGGAGCTGTGGAGCAGCAAAAACCCAGCTCCACCCCCATAGCACAAATTTGTGGAGCTGCTCTGCCAACTCCGCTCCAAAAAACAGAGAATTTGTACCGTTTGGCACAGCTCCAGCTCTAGGTAAGTTGGAGTTGGGAGCTGGAGCTGTGCCAAACAGAGCCTAAGAATCATGTACCAAACCCCTCGTAACCATGGGGTTGCTGGTAAAGTATGCATTATCTTCATCACCTTGCTATATATATACACAGGTCAGAGCAAACATACAGGAAACGAAAACAACCATTCCATATACTTCCATAGATTGCAGAAAAACAATACTATAGCCTGTAGGAGCATTGAGCTGCTACAGTTGCTTGCATACAAACAATCCAACAATCAGTATTCTGCAACCCGCAGAAATAAAGAAGTGCAAACAAACTGAATGTTTAAGTCTTGAAGCCATGAGAACAAAAGTGAACCAGGATGTAACACCCGGATTTTGATAATGCAAGTCGATGCATGAAAGTACATGTTCGGATGATGGAGAAAAAAATAGTAGGTACATGGCGCTCCATACTGGATCTCCACTGTATCAACTTCCAAATATGAAGATGGCTTCAGCAATGCAATAGTAGGTTTTAAGACACAGATTACCTCATAAAACATCTTCAGAACAGGGAGAAATACAGCCAAACAACAAGATGTGTACGGTGTACAAAACTATCAACTTTGTATTCAGGTGAGGAGACGAATTCTTATGAAGCTTCAACTAAACAGACAGAAGGCATAGCTAGCACAAGTTTTTTGCTAACTACAGCTCGAAAGGAGGAACAGCACAACAGGAAAAAAGGATACAAACACACAGTTCGTTTTTGGTCAGGTGCTGCCCAGTCAGTAACTCAAGCTCAAACAGAGTGCCAAGCTGTCCTCTGCTATAAGCCTATAACAACAACTACACTATTCAAGGTCCCAGAGATTGCAGAAAATAGCAGGAGTGTTGAGGTGCTACAGTTATGGCATCCAAACAATTCAACAAGAAGTATTACGCAGAAATAAAGAAGTGCAAACATACTGAAGGTTTAAGCCTTGAAGCCATGAGAACCAAAGTGAACCAGGTGCCATCATAAAAACTGATATAACACCTGATTTTGATAATGCAATTAGTTGTACGGAAGTAGATATTCAGATGTGTAGAAATCCTTTGGCACAGGAAAGATTTAATAGGGTAAATGGTGCTCCATACTGTATGCTCCACTGCACCATCTCCTATGTCAACAATTATACCAGTAGGTTTTAAGACAGATTACCTTACCAAAGCATTTTCAGAACTAAGCAAGATATAGGCAACTGAAAAGATATGCACCCAGTGTACAAAAACCATCAACTTTCTATTCAGGTGATGGGGATTACCTTATAACAAAAGGAGACAAATTCTGATGAAGCTTCAGCTAAACAGACTGAAGACATAGCTAACATAAGTTTCTAAATATAACTACAGATAGATATGGAGAGGCACGGCACAACAGGGAAAAGGGATGCAAATGGACAGTTGGTTTTCGGTCACAAGCAGAGTGTCAAGCCATGACAGCCATGCCTGCAATGCCAAGTCGCAAATCACCTGCTCTTAGCTAGTCAGAAGCCTGGTGGTCGCTTGAGAATGTGGCACTGGATGGTAGGGAAAATGCAAGTACAAACTTGAGTATCTGCCGTGTTCACTTCACATCATAAGCTTGTCTTGAACTGGATTTGAGGGTTACGCGATTAAATGGGGTGTCTTAAACTCAATTTTATTTTCGGATGCAAGAAATGCAATACATTTGAATAGCCTAACCATAATTTGGTCACATAAAACCAAATTGAAAACTACTAAAATGGGGGAAACAAAAGGTAGCATACATTTTTCACGAAACTACTGAGATGTCCCACATCCTACATTATTTCCTACAATAACCGAGCCATGATTCTTTTAGCAGCCTGCTTGGTCTCCATATGCATAAGCAGATGGAAGAGAACTGTTAAAAGAAAATGCAACACTATGTTGTTAAAGAATGAAATTTGCACATACAGATCTTGCAACAAACTGGAGCAAGTTTGTGCACCACAAAACTAGTTCATCAACAACAGCACATCCCAAAACTATTTAACAACAACGGCACATCCGACATGATGAACAATTGAGCAAAAGAGCAAGAATCTAGCATCATATTGTCACAAAACCGAAATTGTGGATGTTACATTAGAGATCGACATCGATGGCAACATAACACATAATCTAGAGTACCAGGGACAAGTTTTCCTGAACCACTCCAGCAAAATTATTCATCCCCCGCAGAACAAAAATAGTAAATCAAGAAAAGCCTCACCACGGCACGACGGATCGGTGAGGTCAGGCGGCCATGGGGTGGTTGGCGACGTACTCGATGGCGAGCGGGAGGGAGTCGATCTTGTCGGCCTCCTGGTCGGGGATCTCGAGCTTGAACTCCTCCTCGATCGCCATCACCACCTCCACCGTGTCCAGGCTGTCCAGCCCCAGATCCTTCTCGAAGTGCGCCTCGGGACTCACCTGCCAACAACAAGCTAGGGTTAGGGTTCGGATGGCGACGGCGGCGGCGTGGATTCGAGCTGCGGGCTGGTTGTACCTTGGAGGGGTCAACCTTGGGGTGGCACTTGAGGACGTCGAGGAGGCGGTCGACGACCTCGTCGCGGGTGAGGTGGGCGTCGTGGGAGGACATGGGCCGCGCGAGCCACCGCGCCAGGGCGTGGGGCTGGGACGCCGCCGCGGCCCCCGCAGCCGCCGCAGGGGAGGGGGAGAGGCGGATGCGGCGGAGGATCGCCGGTCGGAGCGCCGCCGCCGCCATTCTCTCTCTCTTGGGGCGATTCGGATTTGAGTCGGCCGCCGGAATCGAGGAGGATGAGCCGATGAGGTCGCCGTGTGCTGGTGTGTGAGTGTTTCTCTCTGATCTTACTTTAGAGGACTAATCGAGTTGCTGGGCCGTTTGATTGCAAATCAACGGCGCAGATTAATCGAGTTGGAACTTTTTTTTAATTACTCCAACCATCCTATTTTAAACGCAGTTATGAGTTTCCATGTCAAATTTTGATTAAAAACACATAAGTCACGCATAAAGTACTATTCATGTTTTATCATCTAACAATAACAAAAATACTAATCATAAAAATTTTTTAAAGAATAAATTGCGTTGGCGGTACAAGAACTTGGCAGGTGGGTGCGATTAGGTGTAAAAACTTGAAAATCAAGCATAGCAGTACAATAACTTGGTTAGGTGGGTGCGCTCATGGTGCAAAAGTAGCCATGTAAAAAAAATTACCACGTTGCTATTCCACCTTAGCAAAATTGCCACATCAGCTTTGATATGAAAGACCTATCTCATTTTATAGAAAACCACAAATAGCTTTTTTTTTTGTTCCAATCACATTTCCTTTTTAACTCGACAATCAGAACAAACGAATGCATATCTCCTTCCATTTTTCTCGACGTGTTCCTAATTGAGAGGCGGCTGCGGTGGTGGCGATGGCGGCGCAGCGATGGTGGCGGCGGCAGTGACGACGACAACGAGGGAAACCGTTACATCGCAGCGGCGGCGAGGGCTTCGTGTGCCACATTAATTCAAGCACTAAACCAGTAACCAAACCAATTCAAGCCGACAATTTGCTCCTAGCTTGTTATGGTAAATCACTTGCTGATGGTTGTAGATTTCTATTTTTCGTTCATTTGATGGATGATTTCAAAGTTAAGGTTTTATTGATCTGTACAATGGCTGCATTTTTTTGGGTTTTCACTTGAATATCCTGTTATTTGTTATTACAATTCAATGAAGTGATCTAATGGTACTAGCCACTAGATTGGTTTTACTGTAATTATTGGTGTTTCCTATAACTGTATATGATATAAGAGAAACATTGGCAATGAGAAATTCTTGCTAGATGTGTTGTACCCTTTTCAGTAGATATAATTAGTTGAATAATCTGCAAATAATATTATTTTCCTTATGCGGTATAACACATCAACCAATTATTTTGTATTGCAGGTCATGAGGAAGAAGAATTCACAATTGAACTGTATCGTGGTGGGTTTTTTTTTTGGAGTTGGCAGTAGCAGAATTTATTTGGATGAGAAGATGGACTGGTTTGATCATTGTGATACAGGAGGAAAACAGATATATCTGAAGAAGTAATTGGAATACAAAAGTTATTAGGGACTTTTCTGTAAAATGAGATGGTCAATGCATGCTCATGTGGCACTTTCGCTGAGGTGGAACAATGGCGTAGCAACTTTTGCACCATGAGCGCACCCACCTAGCCAAGTTATTGTACCGCTATACTCGGTTTTTAAGTTTTTGCACCTAATCGCATCCAACTTTCTTGTACTGCTATGCTCGGTTTTCAAATTTTTGCATCTAATCGCACCCACCTTCCAAGTTCTTATACTGCTAATGCAATTTACTCATTTTTAAATAAGACAGACGATCAAAGTTGGATACGGAAACTTATGGCTACACTAAAAATGGAGCGGATGGAGTACTATCTAGCTGAAGTTTGAGCCAAACATCCCCCACTCTGTTATTACACTTTGATGCACGGAGTGCATTTCTGAATACTTTCATAACTACTTCACTATATTATTGTTGTTGCAGATTATTTACCCCACAACTCTAAAAATAATTTAGATAATTTCTCCATTTTTTAATAGACGACATCGTCGAGTTTTGAACACATGTTTGACCATTAGTCTTATTTAAAAAATTTTATGCAAATATATAAGATATAAATCATGCTTAAAGTATTTTGAGTGGTAAAATAACTCTTAATAAAATAAATTATAATTACATTTTTTAAAAAAAGACTAATAATCAAACGCAGTGTTATCTATTTAAAAAAACGAAGATAGTATATTACTTAGGTCACTTGTTTTGAGTTATTCCATCCGTTGCAGAATAAAACAATACTACCTTGTATCCAAGCACTTCTCTGCTCGTCCCTATGTCCCAAGATAAAACGATACCTTAAATACCTTATCCCGAGACATTTCTAATAGGAAGGAAAAAATGGCTAAAGTATCTATTATTAATTGAAAAGTAATATTGGTTAAGGGATAAAATGATGGTGTTGAAGAGATAATACTTATTAATTCGCTGACCAAGGCTAAGGAACACATGGTAGAAATCAACTTATTTTAAAACAAACCTTGAACTTTACAAGCAAACTATAGAGAGAGTATTTGTTGAGTTTATTTCTAAAAATGTTTAATTTACACCTGTAATCAAGTAGATAATCTCCATGGCAACAATCCGATGAATAATTTATTTTAAACGGAACCTTTGACAAATATAAAACGCACGCTGTAACTGTCAAAAAAAGAGAGAACGCACGGCGCATACTAATACTTGTCAGCAGTTTTACATAATTCCAATTTTGAATCTAGAAGTAATTTGTTCCATTGTCAAAATCTAAGCCTATAATTTGATGGCAAGGAAGCAAATGTCCTAAACAAAGCATCCTCGTTCCTCTCCCTTCATTATTTAGAGCATCAGGTGTTTTTTTTTTTAAAAAAAACCATCATTAGGTGAAGTGCCCAACTCAGAATAATAGCCTAATAGTGGCATCCTAAAACAATGACCATAATAATGTAATATCAGAACATCATCTCTACCAAGAGCACAAAATCAAATCTGGAAGACATCAAAAGCAAAATTGATTCTTCTGCTGTGCAGTTTACCGGGCTCCAAGTAGTCTCTGTTCTGTAAAACTACTCAAGAAATGCATCGTGTGATCCATCCCAAGAACAAAAGAGAGAAAATTCAGTCTAAGCCTGCAATCCATCCTTTCTGTAAGGTGTCAAGAGATGTAACGATTTTCTTTGTTGGGCGCACATTGTCACCTCTCATCCTCTCCAAGAACCCATGGGCTGGAACTTTGGCATTGACATACGCTTCAAGAAGAACAGCATAATGTAGTGGCCTTGGTGCGTACCCGACATTCTTCAGCCTATCAAATATCTTCTCAGTGTTATGGATATCACCCCTTTTCGCATATCCCTTCATCAAGAAGAAGTACGAGGTGAAAAGCGGCTTTCTGTCAGGATTTTCTTCTGCCACATTCAGGAGGAATGAGTCGGCTTTCTCCACCTCACCTGAATTCACATAGAGATTGATGAGTGCATCCCAGGTTAGAGGACCGTTCGGGCACCCATCACGGCACATCCTTTCCACAAACTGTTTGCCCTTAGAAAGAAGTTTATTCTGCGCGTACACATTCAGCATCGCATTGTAGTACTTGGAAGATAGCTTTTCTGGTGCGTTCGCCATCGCCTCAAAGGTCTCCTCTGCTTTTTCAATAAGCCCGAGTTCACCCCATGCCTTGATTGCAGACAAGAAATCCTCCAGCATAGGTTCTGTGCACATTTCCCATATTCTGGCCACATCATTTGGCTTGTTGAGGGCAGCATAGAGGTGAAGAAGAGATTTGATGACATGCCGTCCGTCCTTTGAATTCGAGAGCTGCGCTTCCATCTCCTTCACAACTGCTTCCGCTTTCTCTGTGAGCCCACCATGGATGTAGAACCTAGCAACCATTGTTTGAGTTGAAGTAGATGGCTCAATGCCATAAGCCTTCATCTCATTTAAGACCACCTCAATGCCTGCCAGGTCATTTGACCGCCCTTTCAAGTCAATCAGCAGTCTGTATGTAAAGGCAGAAGGCTTGACATTTTCCTTTTCCATCAGCATGAGTACGCTAGCTACCTTTCCAGGAGCAATCCTCTTGTATAGCAGTATCATTTGGTTGCAGAGGGTGACAGTTAAACGCAAACATAGGTCTTTTATTTCCTTGAAGACTTCTTCTGCTTTCTGGATATCGCCCGCCAACACACAGTTCACAATTAGAGTTTCATAGAGTACCTCATTCCTGAAAGGTAGTGGAACCCTCTTAATATACTTTTGAGCAGTTTCAATACCATGGCTCCGTGCAATCAAATCAAGATGACAAGCATAGTCACGTTTTTCAAAATTGAGTAACTTTCCTCTTTCCATCCACTCCACGAACTGCAAATATTCACAGATGTATTAAAGAATAGTGTATTTTCCCCCAGTGATCTATAAATGTAAAATGATATCTCCCGAAGTGGCCTCATGGTTTGAATCATACACAAAATGCATGGGTTAAATGACATAAAATCACATGTCAATGACGTCTTGCAGTTTGTCAGAGGCCTAACTCTTGCCGTTGTCGATTTAATAAGCCATAATTCAGAGGATGGATATGTTATCAGCACTAAATGAGCAATAAAAAACAATGAATGAGCAGCTGCTTGGATATAAATTAAGAAAAGAAAGTTGCAAATGATGAACCATTCCCTAATGTTTCAACAAGATAGAATGTCAGCCACCCCTTCTTACTAGCAGCCAATGGACAGCCATGACACCATGATTAAATTAAGAAAAGAAGTGCTCACTGCCTCACCCTACCCACATTCCCACAACACAAAGCTTGCATTCCCTGAATCCCCAAACAGTGTTGAATCAGCTGACCATGCACCAGAAATCCCCAAGTACATCAGCCCCTATGGCCAATCTGGCTTTCAACAGTAGCACCACCTTCATCTACTCCATCCTTGAAGCAATCACCAGTCTCAATTTCTTGACCCAAGCACCAACGGGCCATTCTCACCTACCTGCTGAGGTAGCTTGGCGAATCAGAGCAACTATCATGATTCATGACAAGGGTGCAGCACCAAGCTGTGGCAAGTGATGGTCAGTGCTTAGACATGGTAGATGCAGCAGCTGATTGCCATGGGCTTGACCGAGTGTGGCAGGTGTTAAGCGAACTATAGCGAGAAAGAAGTACTGCCAAGTCTGGATATAAACGACAAGCAGAAGACAGACCAGCCATGGGTGACAAGGCTTGGAATATGAACGCATTTGTTTTACTGAATTATATTCATTTTGAAACCATTGTGAACTTCTGCTGAAATTTGAGACTTGGAACTTCTTTTCAAGCTTTCAAACTTGCTGAGAAAGTACACAAAATCTTGGCATATTAAGACTTCAACATTCTGATCATAAAATCAGTAAAGCTAAAGCATTTAAATTTTAAAATTTGCGTAGTTGGAAATTGAGGCTTCGACTTGCAAAGTACAACTCATGGTCGCAATTGGATTAAACTAACATTTGTATTTTTTTGAAAGACCTAAAATTCAATTTTGAAATTTTATGCTTCAAGCATCTCTGAAACTCAAAGTTCCAAGTTTGGGTTACAAACTTCCAATTTCTGAAACTTGAAACAGGGTAGATCTTGCATGAGACTTAGAATTGCATATCCTATTCAGAGAGTATATCATTTGCTAGAAATGCTCTAAATTAATATAATTGAATTCTGACTAACTTGTTCAACTGGTTTCTAACCTTTAATGAAGATATGCACAAGTATTCAAGTAAGGCACAAAAGGCCAAACTGTAAAATTGATGCTGGTAATTTAGCAACTTGATATTTCATCCTTTCTTCAAATCTTTTATATGAAATATATGCTCTCTCTTTTTTTATTATTTTCTAGCATGGTGATACGTGCAAAAGGATTTTGCCAATAAACACATACTTTTCCAAAAAGGACCATCTGCTAATGTTATTCTATAATGAAAACAGTAGTCCTGTTCTCTAGATGATTGTTTCAGAAATTTTAACTTTACAATTTATCATTCAAGTATCCACTAATCGCCATGCCAATGATGGTACTTCATAATATAAGAGTGCTCTCATTTTCCAGAATATCAAAAGTGCAAGTTTGAAATAGATCATCTGATTTAGACTTGTCAATGGCCATTCTGCATTGGGGTTTATTGTGCCAACAGCCCAACAGATGAACTCAAACATGAAAATTCATTAACACTTGGATTATTTATTGATCCAAGAAATATTCCAAGAGTCTTAAAGTATTAAGAGTTAATTCAAGTTCATAATTACTTCTATTCTAGAACAAGCAACTGCAGCAACATAACGGAAGATATGTTTCAACCACACTAGATCAGTAGATAGTTGATTAAAGGAAACTACATTCTTCAATTGGCTTACTGAAATAAACTTAGGCTATTTACACAGAGGAATGGAAAAAATCGCGGAAAACCGAACTATTATACAATACTTACCTTATGTAATACGTTGGGATTATTTAGCTACGATGTTTACAGAAGCAATAACGGTAAATGCACCAGAATTCTTGGAGAATATTCAAATACCCCAAAGAGCCAGCTATAGGCCCTCCCATGTGTAAGTAAAGATGATCCTATAATGTACGTCCACATTGAGAATAGCAAAAGCTAGTTCAACAACTTGTGAAGCTTTGTCCACTTAAACTCATTTCCTAACTAAGTAACCAAGCTAAACTTTAATTGAAATTTATTCAGATTGAGAATCGAAACACATGCGTCATGAGATTACATAAGAATATATTTTTATAGATTCCTAGCTTTGTTAAGGTTGCAATGGAACTTCATCAGCAAATGGCATCATCAAGCAAAGTGCTGCTATTAGCTGGAAGAAAAGGAATGTTTTCTTTTATAGATTTTCAGTAAATAAGAAAAAAGTTATGTTTTATCAAAGTAGGAAGACAGAGATGCTGCATTGTTGATCCAAAACAGTACAATTTTGAGGGTTTCATAACAGAACACAATACGCATTTCCAAGATCTAACACTGCCAGGAGTCCAAATGTTGTTTGAACTTAGTAATTCAAAGTATCCCAGGAGAACAGATACCACATGCACAGAAATCTCATCTCGAGAAATTTCAGCTTCATGTGGCTATCAGCAACTTACATAGAACAATTACAATGCAGTTCTATACTGCATACAAGACAATCCCCATACTAACTAGTAATTACTGCTTGTAATAAGTAGACAAGAAAAGTATGCATGAATAGTTCGAATATTAAGAACTCATAGTATTTGTGGGGTGATAAGTTAGATTAAATTCCAAAAGCAGCTGGGTTTACCAATAGTTGCATATTTTAGAAGCATTCACTTTATGAGAGGTAACACACAACATACATGATTGCCTAGTCAGTAAAACAGGTACCTGCAAAGCCTTCCGATACATATGTTGTTTCTTGAGGTGAAACAAAACCAGCATAGCGTCGTTTCTTTCAAGCTGGTTACCATCTTCAATCCACTTATCGAGCACATGCCTGAGAGAATTTGAGGGAGCATCCAACACAATTTGGAAAAGATAAGACCTGTAGGTTTTATTTTGCAGTTTTGTGTCACCACTACGATCTATTGCAGGAAACTGGGACCTTAGATTCTTAGCCTTCGTCTCACTCGCATCAATCATAACATTATGTTGATCAAGTTCGTCATCACATTCCAAGTTGTCATCTGGTAGTTGATCAGACGCATCGTCCCCCAATATCTCACTATCATTTTTGTTTCTGAATGGCCTTTCTGCAGGCTCTGAGGAAAGTCTTCGAATCGAGGGGAAACCAGTTCCTGAATAACCAAATGGGAGTTCTTGACAAGACACCTGGCAGCCAATTTCTCCCAGACCCCTCAAAGAACCACCATTCAGGTTATTATCCATTAATCCAGAACATGTAGGAAGCAAATGAGAAACATTCTTGAACCTGTGGGCAAATAAAATAAAAATCAAAGAATGGATCAGTGCCTAAAACGGAACTCTTTAACAAAAAAAAAATTCCCATTTCTAAGCGAGTTTTCATAATTCACAGCAGCATCTACAGACACACAGAATCAGATGCATATATTTCTTATTCACTCGTGACGTCATCTTCTTTTTCTGAAATTAATAACGCCAATCCACAATCCTCGCCGAACTAAGAAGAAGCATCAACACTCCCCCCCCCTCAAGACACCGAATCGAACGATCCTAATCCCTGAACAACGCGGGCGCGTCTCGAGGGGGAGACAGCGAGCGGCGTAGGCCTAGCCGAGCAACGCGAGGGAGCGGGGAGGAGGGGAGAGGAAGGATTCGGCTCACCTGGCGCCGCCGGCGGCGGCTGCTGCTCGCCGGAGCGACGGCCACATGCCGTTCGCCGGCGGGATCGGCGGCAACGGAGGAAGCGATCGAAGCGGAGGCGGCTAAACCCTAGGCTAGGGTTTGGGGACGCTGACGTCGATGAGCAAGAGGAGCAGAGAAAGCCTTTACGATTCGTGCGGCTAAGAACACTCCGGCTCCCTTTTTTTTCCATTCCGTGGAAAAACCTTTTATACAGAAGTTGCTTAAAAATATTAAATATATTAATTTACAAAGTTTGTAATAACTAAAACTTAATCAAATATATCAATTTGTAAAGTTTGTAATAACTAAAACTTAATTAATTATGAGTTAATAGCTTTCTCTTTTATGTGCGTCAACTTAATTTGTCAGTTTCAAACACCAACTCCATTATATCTAAGATTAAAAAAATGCTTTACATATGCTTGATCTATTATTACTTTTCCTTCAAACACAAGAAAATTCCAGCGATACCGTATTTGCACTTTCTCTTTCTAGTATTTTTTATGTTTAAATGTAAAGTGGTATTTGGTAGATTTCAAGCTTATGGAAAATTTAAAAATTTCGGTTGACTAAGGTACACATGGAGGCCTAAAATTTTATATCTAAATAGTATGGTTTTATTTGTTGTAACTGAGTTTGGATACTTTTAAATTTAAATTTTATATCTTTGTCAATCGTAAATTCATTTTATGTCTTCCAATAATAATCATACTTTTATAAGTGTGTGGAAGAATATTAAGTGGTTATATTGTTATCTAGAGGATTTAAGAAGTGGTTTTCAGTCCATCAACTATGAAATTAACCATCAACCATAGAATCAGACACTAACATCTAAAAATTAATCATGAAATCAGACATTTATAGCCTCGGCTATCAAATCTAGTCAAAATATGGCAAATATTGTGCGGTTTTAGTGATGATTTTTTTTATTATTTGAACATCTACTTTTTTTCCTACTTACAATTAGCTACTTTCTACATCTTTCATTATCAAAATCATGAAAACCACCATTAAGAACTACAGTTCCCTTACTCCCTTAGGGGGCGTTTAGGCTAGTTTTGATGGTTAAGATGGGTAAAATGCCTGGTTTCTGGAAGGACCTTGATGCTGCCTAGAGCGGAGTAAATAGGCATTCCTCAAAAATATCACAACTTCATAGTATATTAGAGAGATGAACTTCCAGTTTAAATCGGAACAAACTTTCGATCGAACTTTCCGATGTCAAATGAGAAAAATACTGACTATGAACTTGAAGCTCAAACAAAAAAAAGTATCTGAATCAAAAGGTGACAAGCGAGGTATCTAAGCAAGATATAAGGTCACCAATTAGATCAATTAAGCATACAAGTAAATAAGGTAAAAACAAGCTCAAGCACAATATATTAAGAGAAGATAAGAATGAGCAAACCAAGAGAAGGGGTGTGTGATTTGTTTCCCGAAGTTTAGATCCATGGATACTATGTCTCGATTGAGGGGCAAAAAGGTTAGGAAAATGCCCACCAACGAGAGAAGATTACCGAACTTTTTCCTGTCCTCTTTGCTTCCTAAAATAGAAGCTCTTTCAACCCTTTTCCTCACGAGGTTGCACATATATATATACACACTCCTCAATTTACTCTAGATTTCTTCCCTTGCGGAGGCGAAATCGAAGTCTTTACTAACTTCCTGTGGCACATTGCAATCTTGGGTGCTTACGGGAGACACCTAGCCATCTAGAAGACCTTAGTCCCCAAGAGTAAAAGGTACAATCCAAGATTTGTTTGCTATGAACTTAAGTGCTCAAAGTTTGATGTGAAGCTCACAAGTTTTCAACTTCTGAATCTCTCAATCCAGATCTCTCATCTTCTCAAATCCCTCTAATAAAGACTTACCACTAGGGTAGAGGAATGACAAAGTCTAAGGCTATGTCATGCTCAAGAACTGATGAGCATCTAGGTCCCGATCTTCCGAAAGATATTGATAAGTTGATTATGGAGATCTCGACATTGATGATCCAAAGGCTCCGACCAGAACGATTGAACTCCTCATAATCACTACACCACAACTTTGTTGGTTTCAACCGCGTCGAACGCGATTGACCTCGCCAAGAAGGATATCTCCTGTAAGCTAATGGAGAACACAAGCAAGAGGGTAAAAGAATATCACAAGTTGGGGTTCCACAAATTGAACTAAGAGATGGAACCACAATAGGAGAATAATGTCAATAAAACCCAACTTTAAACGATGACAACTACTGAAAATATGATTAGGGGCATCCTAGGGTTAGCCATAGGCGCGCACCCTCTTGGGCTTAGCCCACGACACATTACAAGGTCCAAAGCCCAAATCAAACTCGGACAAGATGAGGTACACGACTTGTTTTATAGATTCTCGATAGATCAGGAGGAATTTTGACATGGGACTAGAACCATATGAAAGTAGACTTCATAAGTTCCAACAAGTACTCATGGATCCCGAGAGTCCTTCTGGATCAATGGCTAGGTTTGTTTGAATTTGATGCTGTTAGGAGACCATAATTCGAATCCAAAATGTGCTAAACTTCACCTCTTGCCTTATATGGACCAAAAGTGACATGGTGATGTCGGAGTAGACTTGGAAAAGGTATAAAACAAGTCAAAAGTCCAAAAGAACTCACAACAACAAGGGGGTAAGACACATACATAAGGTTTTCAATTGGACAAAAGTTGTCTAATGGATGGAGTAGAGGGGTATGTATACTAGGAACATCCCTCCTAGCTTAGGTGTGAACATTAAAAGGCATGTTCTAGTGGTCAAGGATAACGTAAACGAGAATACAAAAGGTTTTCTTGGGTTCGCGCACAACCCTTTAGCTCCTACTCAAACTTCAGTAAAAATACTCTACTTTTCATTGGAAAATGATATTGAGGTGGGGTTTGATGCATTAGAAACTAGACTTGGGCCTCGTTCCAAGTATGTATGCCATGCACTCCATCTCTTGACTGGCTGGATGGCACAAGGCTTGGAAGATGACCTCTTACAGCGTAATCTATCTTCTTGTTGCTGCAAAACAACCACTGATAATGTATGAGCTGGTTTCTGCTTGGCTTAACCCTTGTCATCCTCCATGTAACCCATCTTTCTCGGTGTAGGGATGATGTCTTCGGGTGTAAACCTCTTGTTGTATTTTCATAGCATGACCGCGTGTGATTGGACCATGGTATGTTTGATCATTCTTGTTGAGGCGTAATCCATCAACTTGGTTTACGTCATTTTCATTTTCTTCATGTGATGTATGACGTAAATCATCACCCTTGTTTACATCATGTGTAGCTGAGATGTCCTCATCATAACGCTTGTTCAAATATATAACATATAAATCTTACATATAAAGAATGCACCTTTGGTTGATAAATATATAAGGAAGCCATGGTCATATCCGAGCTAGTAATGTCCTCATCAAGAACATTAGCCACTCAAAAAGGGGTGGAGGGGTTTATATACCCGAGCTTCTCAAAACTAGCCCTTGTGCACATATCGGATATTCCAACTGAATTTAAATATCAAAATATCCGATATATTCAAAGCACACATACACCCCAAAGGTCACAACCAAAAGCTCCTCATCCTGGGATCTTACACATATTGGATATTCCGAAGTCAAATCGGAATATCCAATTTTCATTAGAACTTCCAATGCGACTCACCAAAACAACCACAACTTTTTGGTTGGAAGTCTGTTTTTTATGATCTTGGACTATATGTAAGGCTCACTCAGAGGGCTTCCCAACCTAGCCAAAAGCAAGGTCTAAAACCACTCAATGGATATATTAAAACTTGGGTTTCTCTTAACTTAGCACTAGGATAGGTCACTTTGAGCAACGAGACATACACAAACACATCAACGTTGCATCCCTCTTAATAGTATGATATTCCTATACTCAAATGTAAATAGGAAGATAATTATACCAATAGGAATGCCTTCATGCAATCTTCCTTTCTTTGTCTTATGGCATGTCAACACCAAAACTATTTCACCATATATTCTTCAAATAATTGATGTTACTTGTAGCTTCAAATAACCTTGCACAGTCTATCATGACAATATATTCACTTTATCATCCTTGATATCTTTAGGTGTCATGATCTCACTTGAGCGTCAAAACCTTTTCCAATTGTTGAGACATATTTCTCTCATTAAACTCAATGAAATTGTTAGTCCAAATAGTTCTAGTTGGGATCTCTATCTTCAGGTTCAGGACGCATAGACGGAGAGAGTCTTCTTCGGTAGCGTGGGATGGCATAAGGAGATTGAGTCTCACTCTTTTTTGAAATAGAATTACGGAATCAATACGTTAGAACGTTTTCTGATAGAGCGGAAAGCAAAGTAACCTATTTTAGAATAAGATTAAATCTGGAACAAGAAGCAAGCTTCCTAGCTTAGAGAAAGGTTTCTCTATGATAGGTATCTATTAATTGTCAAAGAGTTCAGATTAGATGTTTGATGTCTATTTAGATTCTGCCTTTGATTTGAGTTCAGATTAGATGTTTGATGTCTATTTAGATTCTGCCTTTGATTTGCAATAGTAGTAAGTCTACTCTTCTTCCCCCTCTCCTCAGATGTCTACAACAAGAATTAATATACCGCATTTAGAAACCATTTGGAAAGAATAGCAGCACTCTCCAAATTAACTCTATAGGTTGTGTTAGCTATACGAGCAAATTGGCTGTTTCGAGCACATAACAACGCCAAATAGAAGATTTAGCTTGCATGAATAGGTATAGGTTAGTGAAACCAGGCATGAGTGGAGGGCACTAGTAGCATTATCACATCAGGTAGCTTGCTATCCAAAGATATACGCCGCTTCGCTACAACTACACCAATTGGCTTACGGCCAAGACCACTTTTAGATAGAGAGTCATGGGCTTCTATCAAGTTGATCTCATATATAAAAGGGTACAAATAAATCGATGAGTATTAATCAGCACCACAAGTGTTATATACTCAAATGTAAAGATCTTAGTCAAGTGTAAGTGAATAACTTGGATCAAATAACAATGTATATGATTTGCTTCTCCTAAATGTATGCATACAAAATATTTGTGTGAAGCAAGAGTATGCATAAATAGAGAGGAAACATTGGGAACTTATCCTATACAAGAATACAAGAAATTTGTCAAATATAGACATTAATAGAAGCATACCTTCATCATCTCCATGTTCTCAATGTAAAGAGACTAAACAAGATATGGCTCGAACAAAACATTAGTCTCACATGCATATGTCAATCAAATGGAAATAATATATATGAACATATCAGTATGTAGATGAAGAATGAGAGTGATATACATAGCTTGATCTCCATGCATTTCATACTTGTTGTGTTTTAGGTCCACCATCAATATATATTTCTATCTCAACTCATATGAACTCAGGGCCAATTTATTTACCAACCCGTGAAAATAGGTTAGTCCCACAAAATCAGTTTGCCATAAATCATCAAAACAACAATTACAAATTGTTTATTATAGATCCTTCAATCTGTTTCTTTTTGGTGCTGGATGTCAACTCGATATTAAATATATAGAGTTGAGTTAAAAATATAGAACGAGATCCCCTAAAGATGTTCACACACACAGACACATAGGAAAATGGTCCTATATATGTATGATAATGAATAATTAGGGGAGTTCATTCTATATTTGGATCCACAAGAGAGATAGGCTTAAAACATGTGGAGTTTATTACATACCTATCACAATTTCCACTTTCATATCCACATGAGACTAGACAAAGAAATGCTCATAAAAATATCGGTCTTAAATGATTGGATTTTTCATTAATCATCAAAACCAAATTAACGACATTTGAACTTTCAGTTTCAAAGTCGAGGGATGTTTTTCTTTTACAATCCCTGTGATAGTACTTATCCCCTATGTATTGACGTCTCTTTTTAAGTGGTTTGTGTTAATTATTTGTGATATGCGTAGATAGCTAGAGAAGTTAATGTACATTTTGAAGGAAGTGTGAAAAAAATTAAACAACAATAATTATTCAAGTCAATTTTTTTTAGCCATGCATCATTTTTTCCATGAGCGTGTGTGCCACATATAGGATGTTCTATGGTGGAAAAATAACTGTTTAGTCCTAGAAGGTGCATACAATGTTGGGAATAGACCTGTGTTACACAAGCACATAATAGAGTTGATAGGATGGTAGAAATGGAAATACCTAGGGAATATAGGTTTTGACTGAACCTAGTAAATAAAGATCTTGCCTTCTGTGCATGTTAAATATCTTGTCCGGTTCTCTTATGACGTTTTCCATGTATGGAGATCGAAGTCAATTTTCATGCCAGTTCTATAACAAGAGTTCTCCAAGTGCATAGTGCATTTAATTGCCTTATGTCACCAATCACAATGATGCACACCAATATTAATAGGTTGGATAGTTCACGCTGTAAGCATTTTCCACGTATGGAGATCGAAGTTGATTTCCATGCCACTTTTATAACAAGAGTTTTCCAAGTGTTTAGTACATTTAATTGCATTGTGTTGCGAATCATAATGATGCAAACCAATATTTACAAGTTGGATGGTTCACCTTGTAGGTACTTTCCACGTATGAAGATTGAAGTCTATTTCCATGTCAGTTTTATTACAAGAGTTTTCCATGTTTTTCCAAGTGTATAGTACATTTAAGTGCCTTGTGTTGCCAATCATAATGATGCAAACAAATATTAACAAGTTGGATAGTTCACATTGTAGGACAAAAGGACCAGAGGAGAAATTTGGATATACACCATCGTCAAAAATGGGTTTTCCATAATGTCGTCCTCCAAAATTGGATTCAATAAAATACCATTTTCAATAGGGGCGTGCACACTAAAATGTCACTACCACAATTTCTCCCAAATTAAAATGTTTCAGCACCTATGGGAAAAATGGCAAAGACAATTGATTTAACATAGATTGGGATCAATTCAAAATCATCTAAACAAGAAATCAAACTGCTTGAATTGGATGCTTTGTGCACAGTGTACGAGGCACGCACCAAGCTCCCCCCGCCCCTTGCAGCAGTGTTGGGCCTCGGCAACCCAAGAGGATCCGGAAGTAGCATCCACAATCTAACATGGAGCTTTGTTATCACACTTACATTCTTCAGATTCAATTTTTCTTGAACATTTTTTCTCACCAACTGACGAACATAAAGTGTGGAAATTGAGGGCTATAGAGATTCAGTTCTCGAAGTATGAGGATGGAGCCCTTGACGCGTGGCACGGCGAGCCCATGCCTCCCAGTGCCCGACAACATCCCTCTTCCTCCTTACGTAGCATGGTTTGGGCAAAGACTAAAGAAGAGAAAGAGAGAGATATAGATGTAATTTGATGCACATACTTGACCTTACCTGATTGAAGTAGTACAACCAGCTACATTTTAGTCAACACAAATTGGAAAAAAAAAGGCAAAACCATGTTAATTTGGGGAAAATAGAGAAAATTGTGTTTTAGTCTACACAAATCAGTTGCTAGTGGCATTTATTGAATCCCATGTGAGGGATGGCATTCCAGCAAAACCCACTTTTGAAAATGTCATATACCCGAATTTTTTGAACCGAGGAGGTGTGGAGGATGAGTAGTTGACAAGGTGGTGATCAAAGTGCACAAAACTTATGGGACTTGTTTATCAGTGATCTTTAGGTGTCTCCCTAACCAGCTGGAGAAATCCATGAACAACCATCAAAATGCGACCAAGTGGAACCTGAAGTCAAAGCTCTAGATGATGATGATGAAAAAGAAGAGTGAGCAGACAATGCCACACAACTTTACCTGCTCAAGGGTAAATTCAGAATACCCTCTCGGTCATGAAGACTTGACTTGGGCCGCCACTAACAGTGTCTGTGTCGTTGGGGGACATCATTGAGTATAACATTGGGCTAGTAACTGTAAGTCCAAGAAACATCGTGCAAGGTCCGAGCAGCTCCAACCCACTAGGAATGAGGATGTACCTTGATCTAGTCAACATGACCAAACCACACTAGTAGCTTGGGACGATGAACCTGAACATGCCACCAGTTTCAAATACTATGTGGGCTCGGGGGCAACCTTCACTACTCCTAGATATGTAACAACATGGACACATTAGTACATGTTTTCATTAATTTGATAAATAATCTATATCTTGTGCCAAATCAAAACGCCAAATCTCTAACTGATAAATTGTGACACCCTGGAGTAATTGAAGAAAAAGAAAGAGATAAAGAGAAAAGCTAGTGGGCTGCTTTGGTGGTTCTTGGGCAAGCTAGCTAGAGTGCAGTGCGTGCAGCAGCCATGACGCATATAGTGTTGGACTTTAGTCCAACATTGCCATTCGGTTGAGAACATGACTGGTTTATTTGTAGGATAGCCCGATGACAAGTAACACATTCTCGAACCTTGGGCCTAATTCAAATTTTGGTTTGCGCGTTACATAAATATGTTAATTTTTTCATACGTTATATTATCCTGTAGGTATAATTAATGTTCATCATTTTCTACTCTTTTTTCCTTGATACTTCTAAAGATAACGAATTTCCAAATATATAAGCCATGAGAATGAGATCAACCTTCTTGTTCTTAATAAAAAGAAGTAACTCTTGAACAACTAGTCATGCATCCAAGTGAAGCGATGGCAACACTACTTATGATTTTTATCTTGATCAGTAACAAACAATCAATTGTAACATCTTATTCAGGATCGATTGAGCCAGAACTAGTAAGCCATAGAAAAATGAACGAAGCAACCAAAATAATTTATGCATACAACTTTTACATATGTATTATTAGCGGTTTAGAAGCCAACATTGGAAAATAGACCTTGTTAAAAAAAGACCTAAAATCAACCCAAGACATAATTTTCAAAATTCAAATTTTGATTGCTCTAGCTAATAAGCCAGCAAGCAGATGATGAGATGCACACATTTGTGCTGCATGCAACATTCTAAATCGTACTTGGTACATGATGCGCATATGCCTTATAGATACGACCATATACCCATGGCAAATTGATCATTTTAGGCTTGCATCTCTAGCCATTATAGCATACCTTATCACTTTGATCAATGTTTATCCTACTGGCAGCCCATCATCACTACTGATTTGTCTTTTGTATTGATAACTAGCCTTTTAGTGCGCCAGCTAATCTTCTTGAGATGTTGGATGCACTCGGCGTATATGGAATGCCATACTCTAGCTTTCTTTGTGGCCGTTGGATACTCCCAGAGATGAACGGTTGGTGTATCCCCGCCTCCCCTATATTATGAGGGAACTTGAGTCCCCATCTCCACACTAGACAATCCCCTTCTCAATTTCCTCCATATTGAGGTCGATTTGCCTCCCCAATCCTCGGCAATTCTTTCCGTTGCTTCTTTCCTTGGAAGGTGAATCATGGCGGCTGCAGGTAACTCCTTCCTCAACCAGGAGTTAGTGAAGGTGGCCGACGGGGTGTCGGATTGGCACCTTCCGAGCTCTAGCCATGGTGGTACTTGCCACACGAACACTCGTGGTGCTCCAATCACCGTGGGGGTCCCCGACTTAGGGTGCCCTGTTTCTAGCATAGGCATGGCTACGTCAAGCTCTCTAATGCCAAAGGAGGGCCTGACAACCGCTAGTTACAACTCGGTTGTTGCCTTTCCAGTAGGTGCTACGATGGTGCCTCAACAACAGCAGACGCAAGCTGCAGGTAGCAACGACAACCCAGGGTTGGTCAAAGGAGGGTGGACAAGGGAAGAGGATGAGTAAGTGACAGATCTGTCTACTTCTAATCAGATTTTAATTCTTGTTTCTTGGCATCTCTTCAATCTTGTGATGAGATCTTGAACTATTGTTGTGTTCTTTTGATTATAGAGTTCTTAGGCAAATGGTGAGACACCATGGAGATCGCAAGTGGGCAGAGATTGCAAAGAGCCTCCCAGGTCGGGTTGGGAAGCAGTGCCGCGAGAGATGGACCAACCATCTGCACCCGGACATCAAGGTCTGTATCTTGCTATATTCCTTCGGTTATATGTGTAGATCTAAGGGATCCTAGTTCTTTCTCTGTGCAATTTTAGAGGTGGAGTTTATTTTCAGATTTACGTGAAAATGGTACAGATTTCATAATATTCAACATTAAACGGGAGCCGATTATTTGAGTAATTAGTTAGTCATGTTGCATGTCTTTTATTCTAGTTAATAAATGTAGGAATTTCTTCGCTAGGGCCATTAATGGATCCCACACATTATTTGTAGTCCTAGGAAAGAACTACTCTGGACAGTAGTCCACCAAGTTTATTTGTGTTTTTAATCATTGTTGTATATGCAAATTAAGCTCAATGTTTTAGACACTTATTAGTCCAAAATGTGTATGACACTTATCAGTCCCAATCCTATGTTTTTATATATTGCTTTACATTTTACTAGGTACAATATCTTCTTTATTTGTCACTAGAGTAATCACTAACATTATTTGGTGGCACCCTGTACAAAAATGGTATATGTTAATTATCATATCTATGTATATATGCTTTTATTTCTCAATAAATGTGCTCAAATTAAAAACCATTAAAGTGGAATCCGTGGAGTTCCTTTTTCTTAATGGATACAATCTAAAATTCACTGATTTTCTTTAATGGTACATTGACCTTTAATAGCCTTATGCTGTTGATCATATGGATGCTTCCAAATTTAATAAATTGCAATGCGATTTACACTGCAGAAAGACATCTGGACAGAAGAAGAGGACAGGATGCTGATCGAAGCACACCAAACTTATGGGAACAGCTGGTCGGCGATTGCCAAGCAGCTTCCTGGACGGTCGGAGAACACCATAAAAAACCATTGGAATGCGACCAAGCGAAGCCTGAACTCAAAGCGGCGACTGAGAAAGAAAAACAGCGAGCAAACTGTGCCAGGGCAGCCTTCCCTCCTTGAAAGTTACATCCGTAGCTGCCAGCACATGCTTCCCAGTGAAACTGTACCGCCACCGCCCGCACCATTTGACATCAGCAGGTATGGCAATAGTGGGGTGATAGGTGCAAGTCCAACTCTACCCGTTGTGCAGGAGCCAGGCACCTCCACACCACCAGGATTGGTAATGTTCCTTGATCTACTCAACCAGGCCATACCGCACCCACCGCAGCCAGAGACCATGGACTTGTTCAACATGACACCGGAGGTATCACACCTCAACACTAGTGGATACTGTCTACAGCTCGATGCAGGGGGCAACCTGTATTATGGCCGGCTACCAGCACCAGCACCGGTGCAGCCACATGGGATCAGTACCCAGGAGCTGCAGGATACTCCGCAACTAAGCCTGTACTACCCGCTGTCGTCATTTGCCGGGAGCCACACGGATGGCACTGTGGAGTTCAATCACCAGTTGTCCAACCCGAACGGCGGCCACTATGGCGAGGAGGCAGGCCCAAGTAGCGTCGCCACTGGTGGCAGCGCCAATGGCATGGATGACAATGACGTCGTCCAAATGGCGTCCAACCAGTTTATGATGCCATCTGAGGATGAGGGTATTCTTGACCTGGCCAGGTGGATCAACTGAGGCTTGTTCACAGTACTTCCAAACCATCACCCATTTAATAATAACAATTATGATTATCATCTCTTAGTTTTTCTTTCTCCAATGAAGTTGAACTCTCACCTGCGTGTGCAGCGTGTGTGGCTATATGTCTGTACTTTAATTTGTTTGAAACATCTCAGTCTTAAGTGGTCCCTGTGGTGTGGGAACATTTCATTAATTTCTTGTGCTTTGTTTTAAGATGTCGTTTAAGATATGAACCTTTATTTTGTTGTGCTTACTTTTAAGGCGTCAATCAATGTATAAGTTTCATTGTCTGTTCCAGAAATTTACTTTTCATTCTCCAGAAAAGTAGTTTTTTTAGTTTATATTGTTGAGTGGGAGAGTGGTAGTTTGTGGTACAAAACAAAACAAAACAAAAAAAGGAGGATCTGGGAAGTTATGAACCACTTTCTAAGTTATAAGTACATTTTTAGCGTTAGACGAAGTTTGGCTGTAGGGGTGGATAACAAGGTAGCTTGGCTCCTTAACCTAAATGGGTTAAAACTTAAAAGTCTAGCTTGGTAAGCTTGAGTATAAGCTGGATTGTTAAGCTTGCTGAAAAGGTCTAACTTATTTATATCACGTTTAAAATTTTAGCTTTTGATTATTAAATAATAAAGTACTGATTTAGCACTGATATCGTTATCCTGGAAGTAATTTAAAGCATTGAGTACTAATTAAGAAGCACTAAGTATAAAATGATAACGTCCATTTTTTTTTGCCAACTATGCTCAAAATCTAATTTTTACCCTGAATCCAAAACCGGCTGTTTTTTATACCCATCATTCAAATCTGAACGAATAACATGCTAGAACATACTGTATATATTTTCAGTGTTGTTGTTTGAAATCGAGGTGTTTTTTCTAGTTTGTATTCTTATTATACATACTTTGCTAATGTAGGTGTTAATTATTCGATCCACAACAATGGAACTTACCTACTTGAAGCTCATGTTAGCTAAAACCACTATGAAATATGGTCATTTTGCCCGGTTTTGAAATTTTAGTGTGAAAAATAACCGGCTTTGTAGTTTTGGATGGAAATGGACTTTGAAAATGACAAAAATTGGACCAAGATGCCTTTCTAAAATTAGAAAACACTCACGCAGATGACAAATAATATTGATCTTGTACCAAGATCAAAATGCCAAATCCCTAACCGATAAATTGTGACGCCATGGAATAATTCAAGAAAAACAAAAGAAAGAGATAAAGAAAATGACTAGGGGGCTGCTTTGGTGGTTCTTGAGCCAAGCTAGCTAAGTGCAGTGTGTGCAGCACTATCAGATCAATTGGCCTTAGCCCATGGCGAGCAGCAGCAGCGCATATATAGTGCTAAATTGTATAGTTCCACATCGTTATCTAGCTGAGAAGTGGTTTATAAGGTTGATTAGGGATGAAAATGGTTGGAAGCGGTTGGAAAAATGCTTAAACCATTTTTTTACCCTTTTTTTTGAAAAAGGAATCAAAATGGTATAGTCAGAAATGGTAATGATATCAGATTTACCTAACACCGGAAAATATCATAAACAAAATCATAAAAATAATGCCTCGGAAACAACTTGTCAGAAGGGCAAGCAAGTCATAGTCATGTTTACATGATGAATTAATGTCATAGACATATATTAGTGAAGATTCACAGCACTAAGTAACTAATTTAAATACTTCATAACAATATTATAGCATCAAAACAATGACAACATGTAAGGGCTATGGTTATGTTTTTAATATTCTGATGGGTAGTCTGTATTATGCAATAATTTCTTTTGCAATTTTGCATGAAAACAGTATGCCACTAAAATATTCAGAAAATAACCCTATACCATTTCTGTTTCATTTCTGAACAATATGGAACCGAAATAAAATGGCTGGTATGATTAGGAATTTTCATATGGTTTTCATCCCTAGAACTAGATAGCCTGATTATTAGTAACATTTGTTTTAATATTTTTTCACAAAGAAATGACGGAAGCACAGAGTGTTACAGTGTAGGTGTAGTCGAACAAATTGAGTTGGGCCTAAACCATTTTTGGGTCAGGTGTTACATAAATATGTTAATTTAGTTCAATAGGGTATATTATCCTAGGTATATTTAATGTTCATCATTTTTGTACTATTCTTTTTTTGCCTTGATACTTCTAACTTTCTTGGGATGTTGGATGCATCTAGCGTATATGGAACATTATACTCTAGCTTTGTTTGTGGCCATTGAATAGCCCTAGAGATGAATGGCCGATGTATCCCCGCCTCCCCTATATTATGAGGGGACTCAAGTCCCTATATCCACACTAACCAATCCCCTTCTCAATTTGCTCCCTAGTGAGGTCGCTTTGCCTTCCCTAAAATCCTCCCCAATCAGTGATTCTTGCCCTTGCTTCATTCCTTCGAAGGTGAGTTGATGATGGCTGCAGGTAACTCCTTCCTCAACCAGGAGTTGTTGATGGTGGTTAACAACATGACTGATAGGCACATCATGAGAAGCCATGGTGGTGCCAGCTACTAGAACACTCGTGGTGCTCCAATCACCGTACGGGTCCCCAACTTAGGGTGTCTTGTTGCTAGCATAGGCATGGCTCCGTCAAGCTTTCGGACACCGAGGGGGGGGGGAGGGGTAACTGCTCGTTATAATATCGTATGTGCTGCCATGGTGCCTCAACAATAGCAGATGCAAGCTGCAGGTAGCAACGGCAACTTGGGATTGATCAAAGGAGGGTGGACAAGGGAAGAGGATGAGTAAGTGACAGATCAATCAACTTCTATTCAGATTTGTAATCTTGCTTATCAGCATCTCTTCATTCTTGTGACAATATAATGTCTTAATGTTGTGTTCTCTTGATTGTAGAGTTCTTAGGCAAATGGTGAGACACCATGGAGATTGCAAGTGGACAGAGATTGCAAAGAGCCTCCCAAGTCAGACCGGGAAGCAATGCCGTGAGAGATGGACCAACCATCTCTACTCGGAAATCAAGGTTCCTTTGGTTATATGTGTAGTTCTAAGGGATCCTAGTTCATTATCAATGCAATTTTACAGCTGGAATTTCTTCCGGTTATGTAAAACTCCAGGAAATTTCATCCCACCATTGGAAGGTGTGGCCGGTCATTAACCCTTGAGTAAATAGTTAGTCATGCTGCATGTCTCTTTCAGTAGTATTCTAGTTAATAAGTGTGGGAATTTCTTCATTGGGACTTGTAGTGGATCCCTAAGTAATTTTATTTTTAATCCTAGGGAAGAAGTTTAGGGGGGAATCCTCTGGACAGTACTCCACAAAGGGAATGGCCCGAGTAGTTTATTTGTGTTTTAGATCATTTTTGAATATATGCTAATAAAGACCAATGTTCTAGACACTTATTAGTCCAAAATGTTTTAGACACTTATTAATTCAAAGCCTATGTTTTTTTTTGCTGCTTTAGGACTATAGGCAGGCAAACAAGATTCAATATCTTCTTTATTTGTTACCAGAGTAATCAATAGGAGTAACATTATTTGCCATCACCTTACACAAAAATGGCCACTGTTCATTATCATGTATATATGCTTTTATATCTCAATAAATGTGCTCAAATTAAAAATAATCAAAGAGGAATCTATGGAGTCCCTTTTTCTTTATTGGATACAATCTGAAATTCACTAACTCTTTAATGGATACATCAAGCTTTAATTGCCTTGGATGCATCCAATATTAAGTAGCAATATAATTTACACAACAGAAAGACATCTAGATAGAGGAAGAGCACATGAAGCTGATCGAAGTGCACCGAACTTATGGTAACCGTTGGTCAGCGATTGTTAGGTGGCTCCTCGGCTGGTCGGAGAACACCGTCAAGAACCACTGGAACCCAACCAAGCGAAGCCTAAACTCAAAGCAGCGACTAAGGAAGAAAAACAGCGAGAAAGCAGCGCCGGGGCAGCCTTCCCACCTTGAAGAGTGCATCTGTAGCTTCCAGAACCCACTACTTGATGAGACCGCACCACCACTGCTGGCTCCGCCTGCACCATTTGACATTGTTAGGTATGGAACTTGTAGGCTGATCGGTGTAATTCCAACCCCACCTGCCATATAAACGCCATGCAACTCGTCCACTTGGCCTACCGGGGATGGTGATATTCCTCAACCTGCTCAACCAGGCTATACCACACCCACCGCAGCCGCAAACCATTAGCTTGTTCAACATGGCATTGTTGCCGCACCTCAACACCAGCGTATACTGCCTACGGCTTGATTCGGGAGGGCAACCTACAATATGGCAGGCTGCTAGCGACGGCGCTAGTGCAGCCACACGGGATCAGCGCTCAAGAGTTGTAGGCTGCTCCGCACCTGGGCCTATACTACCCGCCATCATCACTCGTTGGGAGCCACGCGGACGCCCACATAGATTTTGATCACTAGTCATCTTACCAAGCTAGAGACGACTATGACGAGGAGGCAGGTGTTGGTATTTGCATGCAGATAAATCCGTAAGTGCACGGATACCGCTGTAACACTTCCCCTTAGAGTATTCCAAGGGTATCGAACATAAGGAACATGTGTGTACTATCTACGAACAGGATTTTCTACCCAAGGACAATAACCGATGGTAGCTAGGTTTGGCTAGAGATGACTCCTATGGACTTAACTAGTTAGCTTAAGTTAAAGGTAAAACTCTATCGAATACATCGAGCAACGACCCTCCCCTGGTCTGTCAGGTTGAGTCTGGCCTTAAGCTCTATGATGTACCCGAACATGGACGGATGCAAAGGATGGACAGAGTTGTGACCACCTGCCGCCTACCTCACTTTTTGTGGAGCACACAACAAACGAAGGTAACCACTAACGTAGACAGCACGCCTAAGTTATTGATTACTACTCTAGACTTGCGCGGGAACATCCTTCTTTATCCAGAGTCTTAGTACTAGAGCACTTAATTGTACACTAATCGACGAACCCGCACCGATGAGAATATATCTAACTTAAGTAAACTAATTAAATAACATAAGCAGACTTG